TATTTGTTTTTGGGTTAGGGTTTAGTTGCAGACGTATCTTGATCTCTAGTCTGTCTCACAGTCCCTGAACCACATTATTTTCCCTACTGCCTAGCCCTCTCTGCAATGCTAAAGCCCTAAATGAAGCAAGTCTAGATTTCCTCAGGCCATTGGGCTCCTTTTCAATTTAAATGAGTTTGTTTGTTACTATCAAAATTATACATATTCAGATGTATGGATATATAGTGATGAAGGCAGACTGGTGAAGACTGAGGGAGACAGACCGACAGACAGCGAGATATGTGTGTTGGATGAGCATGCTGAGACTGTTATGATTCAGATGTCCCAGTAGTCAAAGCTGCTACAGAGTTGTGTCCCTTCTTAAGAATAATAATAGTAATAAGGCCAGACCAATTTTATTTCTTGTTTTACGGATCCCCAGTGGAATTTTTTTAAGAATAAGATAAAAAATTAAAATTAATTTTCCCAAATAATGTATTTATAAAGTGCCTAATCTCCACCGTAGAGATGCTCAGTGGCGCTGTGACAATATTGGGGAAGGAAATAGTTCATATAACTTTACAGAAAGGCAGCAGTGAACAGATCGGTCTTTAGGAGAGATGTAAAAGTTTCTTTCAATGAAGTGTTCCTGATTTCCTTTGGAAGAGAGTTCCACAGTCCAGGGCTGGCAAAGGAAAAGGTATGATCAGACAGTAGGTTTTGGAGATCTGTGTTGGGTGAGGAGAGAGTCAGAGGAGGATCGGAGACTTCGCTGAGGTACATATACGGAGATGGGTTGTTTGAGATAGTCAGGAAAGTTATCGTTGTAGAGGCAGTCATGAGTCAGAATGAGGATATTGAAGGAAATTCTTGCAGAGATGGGGAGCCAGTGTAGAGACTGTTGTACTGGTGTATTGAATTCCAGATAATCCTTTGATTTAAAGTCTCACATTTAGCCGATGCAGAGCTTCATCATAGAACTTCCCTTCCCAGTACTTATACTGACATTAATTCCTATTGTGCCATCTCATAACAAACAAATTAGGACACTCCCTGCCCTTATTATGAAAGCATCATTCCCCAGTCAAGTTCATGGTTTTCAACAAGTGTTTTGGATATAAAACCTGCGTGACTACAGGCTTGCCATGTTAAAACTACACTACTATTTAAAGTCAAACCTACTCACTGTGTAGCAGCTAAATATCCCATACACGTTACCGCTTTGATGGATATCCACTAAATCAGAGATGTGTAAATCACATGGGTCAGGGAGGTCTCTGCCATCCAAGTGTAGAAAATAACCAAATCTCCATTCTTGAAGTGTTTGTTCATCATAAATATCCCCAGATGCCCTCTATATGGACAAGCTAATGGAAACTGTCTCTGATGATGAAGGGCTACATGTGCTAGTCAGTCTTCTCCATGACATCATGACGCTTCTTCCATACACAGCAGCTTCATGTCTGCTTATAGTAGTTTAGGAACATCCATGAACTAATCCCCCTTTCCAGGAATGATGGTTTCATAATTAAGAACAGGGAGGATTCTAATTTGTTTGTTATGAGATGGCACAGAAGGAATTAATGTCAGTATAAATACTCTAAAGGGAAGTTCTATGATGAAGCTCTGCATCAGCTAAATGCGAGACATTAAATGTATTGGCTTTAACTGTATAAATAATATTAAATATTACCTAAATGGCTGCAGTTCAGGTATGAGATTTTGCTGACAAGTCACCAATGTTATAATCTTCAACTTCATGTCCATCTTGGTCTCTGGAGTGCCCCTGTCATGATAGTGCAGGAATGTTACTAAAAGTGTTGTGAAGAATCATTCATACACTCACTCACTCACTCCATCACTCCTTCCCACCTCCTTTTACTCACTCACTCTTGATCATCAGTGGAGTTGCCTTGGCAGGAGCACAACTGATAGAAGAAAATGTTGAAATTTTACATAATTACTATTTAATTGGCTGATAATTAGATTAGAAGTTTTTCCAGTTGTGCTATTCTTACATCTTATACATGATCAAATATGTTGTAAAACATACTTCAAAAGTTAATTGGAGTTGTGTTAAGCCTGTTAAGGAGAATATCATACAGAAATGCTCATTGTATGGAGGACTGCTTGGAAGTATTGTGGGAAGAAATGTAGGTCATGTTGGCAAGTATGTCAGCGTGACACATATGAGAGTCATGATGATTGTGTACACTTCATAAATCAGCTGGACAGTGGACTGTCCTTGTTCATGTCACCAGACATCCGTCATTACCCCGGAACTGCAACTGAAAGATGTTGATGGGTGATACTTACGTGGGACACTGGGATGGGAGATTGACACTGGGGTAGGGAGGCCTACTGTTTGACATTCTGGTAGATTACAGTAGGAGCGGCTGAGATTTGTGTTTGAAAAAAATCATTTGTTAAATACTGGGAAACTATCTGGCTGAGGTTGATGACAGACTACTGGTATGTTGCTGACGTACTGCAGCTTGGTCATCACAAAAACGTCACTGGCTGACAATACCATAGATATATGAGTTGAGATCTTCAGTCCCTGGGGCCTGTTTCACCCAGCGATTGTAGAGCTGTGACTGTCGTAAGTCTATGTGAAAGTATGGGAGTTGCGATCACCTTAGCGCTACGATCGCTTTGTGAGATGGGGCCCAGGTGTGTGTGACTATCTGTTCCTGAGTTTAACAACAGGACCAAACTGGGAACATGCATGTGTTAGCTAACAAATCATGTCTGGTGTATGTAGTTTGTACCTTTCACATTCTGTGAAGGTCTGTCTACTCAAACCTTTCTCATGTAGTGTGATTAGAACTAAGGTTGGCATGGTGACATATTTTGAATTGGTTCTTTATGTCTGTGTAGATTCTCCAATTAGTGACAGAGACAGACAGTTATTAGAGAGATGTGCAGGTTCCAATGGGAAGCAGACGTCCCACCCAGTCAGTTATCTATACAACAGCAGAGGCAAGCCTTGTACTTATCTACAAGGTCAACACTATCAGAGTTGTGTCACTACAGAGCATGTTATTGCTGATGCTGGCGTTGCTGCTTCCTGTGGGTGGGGGAACATAAGAAGCGTCTCTAAGAACATGTTTTCTTTAAACCAAGCAGATTCAAGCATGTGTAAGAAAACTTGGTTTTTAATCAGTATGTACTAATGATAACTAGAAATCAGCACGTTTAATATCCTGATGAACTGATGGAATTATAATGGTGTCTGTTATAATGTCCGTGAAAAGTGGCTGGGGTTCTATAGGTTGGGAGCTGAAGGAGCAGGATGTATGCGTGAGTGGTGGAATGCTGCAGAATATTGCAGAATAGCTCACAAGGCAAAGAGGCATTTTGTTGTAGATCTGGACAGTCAGTGTTGGTCAGAGAACATTAGGTGTGACGGTGTGGTGTGTGGATGTAGAGGGGACACAAGATAAAGACTGGCTACTCCCTGTATCAGAGAGCCAGTCAGTGTTGGTCAGGTGTGACCCTGTGGTGTGTGGATGTAGAGGGGACACAAGATATACTCTGGCTACTCCCTGTATCAGAGAGCCAGTCAGTGGTCAGTGTTGGTCAAGGGTGATGTCAGACAGCTGTGGAGGGTTGGCTACCAGCTGCACCATGTAGACTGCAACCCCAGATTAGCTTGGACTTCATGGCCATTAGATACATGGCTTGTATTTCCCAGGTGTAATTAGTTAGATGTACCCCTGATACATGGCTCTGTGATCTCTGCATGACCGCTGGAGGGTTGTGAAGATCAGATTGCCCACTTACATTCCTTTGGAAGTGTGCTGCTGGACCAGTGAAGGAGGCAGATGTTGAAGATAGAAGTGTGTTTATGGTCACATGTTGAAGATGTAGGAACATGATCTGACAACTTGTGAACTTGTTATTGTTTGATGGTAGATCCTGTTCAGTGAAGTGTCAATACTCTTAAAGCTTTAGAAGATTACTTATACTGTAATACATCATCTCAAACCTTAAAACTAAATCATTAATTTAGATTTTCATAAACACTAGTGCTGTGTGGATGTATCAGACTATTTTGAGGTATGGCTGATACAACATGTTAAAGCATTGTCCAATCGCTACACTGGTAGAACAAAGGGGTAGTCTATAATGCCCTGCAATGCGTTGGGGGGTGGGGGTTTGATTTAAAATGGACTGTCCGTGCAAATTCTTCTTTCTGGAGCAGAATAAAAAAAATCACGTTCAATATTACTTCACTAAACTTGGCACATAGATAGGTCTGGAGGTGAACTGTTGCCTTTTTATAGGATTTCTGAAAAAAATAAATTTTCATTTCCATGGTAACCAGTTTTACTTTGACTGAATTTGGTGGTAGTGCTCCCTTTTGCAGTGGAATTTTGAAACCTTTCAATACTGTCCTTCTACTATGTTTGTATTCAAGAACCAACTCGATGCTCATGCTGTTGATCACTTGATTGTCTGGTCCAGACTAGATTATTTACAGACCGCCGCCTTATAGCTGGAATATTGCTGAGTGTGACGTAAAACTAAACTCACTCACTCACGCTCAAGAACCAACTAGTCGACATAGTCATGAAGAATATTTTAGCATTCTGTGGGATATTGATGACTTTGTCTTCTTGTTGATTTATATACTGGCAGAAGGAATGAAATCAGTGTGCTGTTCTGAAAGTGTGAACAGATTATATTTGAATATATGACATAGTTTATATCTACCTCTGTACTGAACAGCAATAAGGGAACAGTTTTGTTCATGTCACAGAGCAGCTGGGAGAGTGTTTTATTTGCTGTGGAAAATTAAACAGCCCCATGGTTGGTGCAGGAGGGGTCAAACAGACTTCAGCATATTGAAACTGTTTCAAATTGTTTAGAAAAGTGTATGAACATTTTGAGAATTATTTCAACCCTGACTACTGCGGAACAGTGATTGTTGAAAGTAAATGTGTCCAGATGATGCTTGTATGGTTTGATGTAATGATGTGACTGTGATATATTATTGTGTCTGTCGTCTGTTTCAGGGGCTGGGACGAGATCCCCCCTCACCACCGCCTGCGCCCTGAGGCTGAGCATATTGCGACCAAGAACTCGATGGACAGCATGGGAGACATAATGGCCATGGCCGTGTCAGCAGATCAGTCACCAGCAAACAAGAGATCAGTTCCCAAGCACATGATGATCACAGAAGATAGGTGAGTAGGCATCAGTTAATAGCCAGTGCATCTCTGGTTCTATCCGTTGTAGTCTTAAAAGTGTTTTGGGCCTGTCAGACCAGTGGTTGACTGTTTGAGACAAAGATGCACAACTAAGTTGACACATTGAAACAGTCAGATCATTGACACTTACTTCAGGTCTAACATATTCTGCCCAGGAATCCACACTGAGTACAGTGTAGCTGGTATCATCAATGCCTTCCATACAAGATCAAGAGACCCTGATTTATTGCCAAAATGTTATTGATTGATGAAAAGGAAACTTGCTAACTTGTGTTGGTTTTTGTCCAGACGTCCCAAGACATCGCCAGTGCGTACCCGACCGGAAGCCATGCAGAACTACCAGCGGAACCGGAACTGTGAAATGGGTGCCATCATGCGAGGGGAATCACAGACTGCATCTCCACAAAGGAAGAACAACAGGATGCTGCAAAGGTCGGAAAACTGGTGATGACCTTGACCTTATACATCATCCCCATAAGAAGAACATACCAAGGTCATGAAGTTGGCCTTTGGCACCAGTTCCTGGAGGGGGGAAAAGTCACTGAGTTGCCAGTAACACAAGATCAGAAGATGTTATATGTCAATATTTATAAATATTTTAGGATTAACTGAAAACATTATATTTTTTGATGTCCATGGTCAGTTTCTTGACACCAGGAAGATTTTGTGTGTGGTAACTCTGATGTATATATACAAGATCAGCGGCAGTGATTCTGTGGCTTTTTGCTTGTTTACTGTGAGTGGAGGTGACAGAATTGTTTAAATGTTGTCTATCAAAAGGTTAACACTATTAATTGTCTCTGAGAATCAAGTCTCTTGTACAGATACATTACATTGCTCATGTACATATCACATACACCACACTGCCATACATGACAAGTAGCTTGTCCCGTGTCACACAAATGTACTGCTGCCATGGCGATGCTTTGATCAGCACTGAAGAACGTCCCACCATGTTGACAATAGTTCAAGCTGAATTGTGTAGCATTTACTGAAGTCTTGTTAGCTGGTTTCATGCAGGTTGAGAAGTAATTGCCAGTGTTGTTCTGACTGCTCTGTAGGAAGCAAGGCCCACTTGCATAGAGCTGTCTCAGTGCCTCCTCTATCTTTATCAATATGTGGCGGTTGGGTAGCCTAGTGGTTCAAGCGTTTTCAATCGTCACGTCAAAGATCCGGATTCGATTCCCCACATAGGTACAATGTGTGAAGCCCATTTCTGTTGTAATATTGCTGGAATATCGCTAAAAGAGGCGTGAAACTAAACTCATTCACTCACTCACTTCATGAATGTTAAAATATGGGAATTAGGATCATCTTAGTGCAAGTGGGCCTTGAACAGATCATGCGAGTACTGTTTTGTAAAACTCAATGTAGCAGAAGCTAGGACTCCACTGACCCTATACTAAACTACTGATGGCAGTTTTCTTGAATCTTTCACATTGCAATTCTATATGGAATTCAGTCTTAAATGCATTGTGAAGATCTCCCAAGACCTGCTGTCTGAAATCTGTATTGGATTGTGTGCCAGTGGTGCCACAGCTCATGATCTACAGAAATATCAAAATATATAAGAAAATGTACATGAACTGTAAGAAGGATGTTTGAAACTGACTGACTATAGCCTAGATTTGCTTTGTTTTGTTGTAGGCAAGTATTGTGGTATTTTACAGGGGAAACATTTTAGACAGTGTTGCTTGTTTGTTTGTTTTATTCTTGCCATGATTGCTTTTAACCTGACCAGGTATTTATTGCTCATAAAGTGTTTAAGTTGAGGACATAGGTTTTACTTGGTGATCATGATCACTGGCTGATTGTTTTCTTACAGCTTCTCAATTCTTGTTTACCAGATCTGAATATTTGACTAAATGTACACTGGTACAGTGTTGCTGGTAATAATTTGAATGGAAAATATACCTCTTTCCAGGGATAGAAAATATACTCAATAGAAATAATTGTGTTAATTACTTGAAAGGAAGATAGTGTCATTGCAAACATATCAACATGAGAATCTCGGCAAGTGAATCCAAATAACATATCACCCTTTTATATGTTGGTTGTGATGTGCACCCACATTTTGAATGTATTTCTATTTACTGGTGACAGTGGTTGTGGAGGGGGATGGGCTTACAATAACTAGAAGCTGCTTCTGTACAACTAGTCAGGAATGTGAATGTAGGGGCAACACTACAGGATTAGTTGCCATAATTCCAGGAGGCAGCCCTGAAATTTAGATGTTGAGTTATTTTCCAGATTTCTGCAATTTTCTATTGTGAATATTTCTGTATTTAAGGTATCTTTATTTAATAAGTTTAAGAGTAGAAGTTCTGTCACAGCTTGATGATCAAATGTTAGATCCTACGTGAAGTTTTATGTCGCATGCTTGTGTATGCATTTTCATTTTTCAAACCCTGATGATGAATGCACTTGTTTGTCATGTCAATACCTGCCCGTGTTTTGTCAGTGTAATGTCTGCTGCTGAACAACGGAACTGCTATGGTATATTCAGTTTTTAACAATACTCCCAAGCATTTTATCAGTGTGTTCTAATCACAGAGGGAATCGGATACGAATGAGGTTTCATGTTTGCTCCTGAAAAGTATAATGTATATTTCTTCGGGTTACTGTACAGCGACATTTTTATATGGCACAGGTGCTGAGAATTATGAATTAGCCATGCCAGGATGGGCTGGAAGTGGGTACAACCTACATTCTTTAGCTCCGTACACCTTTATGTGGGTATCACCAAGTCACCAGTGCCATATGTCAGTGCCTTATTTGATTGCTTCGTCCATTGCAACAAACCACCGTATATATTTTTGAGAATCTACAGTATATACTACTCAGCGGTACACAGATGGTCACATGTTCTATCGTGTTTTCACTTGTCTGAATGTCCATGTAAGGTTTTATTCCAACTACTGGTGTTTATTTTGTATAGTGAACAACACTTTTTACTTATAAACACAAATGCTGCCTTAGTAAACCTTTGCACATATACAGCCACAGTAAAAAAAACATGGCTGTTCAATATTTGTCCATTATAGTGACTTTCATCAGGTTTTCCTGAAGTTTGTATCGTTTCAAACACAAACTCACTGATTTCTTAGTGTTGCTGTTGAAAATGATTTGATCTAGATGACCTGATGTTACTTTGAAACAAGTAACAGTTTGAAACTTATTCCACAATTGTATAATGGGAAGGATCACATTCATGATTAAAAACCTATACTGACAAATGTGTGTCTTCTATTTGCGGGGATGGATGGGTGAGTGTCGTCTCATGCAGCGGACGGTAATATTCTGGACCACAGAAACCAGTGACTAAAGTGTGCATCACTCAAGTTAACTCATGGGCTGCTGGAGACTTTCTTAAGGTTAGTTGGTGGACCAACAGACATCCCACATCTGAACAATCACCAGTGTCAGTATTATGAACACAAAATGCCATTTAGAAAGTGGTCAAATGTAACATGTTATAACTGGCATTGCGCTCTCTCAGTAAATTGCAAATTCTAGTACTTTTCAGGGAAAACTTAATAATATGTCATCAAGTTATAATAATAATAATAATAATAAGTACATTTATAATGCGCCAAATCCAGACACAAAGTGTATGCTCATAGCGCTACATGAGAGATTCTGACATCACGAGGTTAAGAGATAGCGGCTAGAAATGATTAGAGTCTATAGAACTGAGTGAAGAGAAATGTTTTGAGACTGTCTTTGAACATTTGCAGAGTAGGGATTCCTTTAAGATAATCTGGGAGTTTATTCCAGAGAGTGGTGGCATTGTAAGTAAATGATCTCTGACCAAATCGTCTCAGACGTGGGGTTGGAACAGAGAAGAGATGTTGGGCAGATCGGAGGACTCTAGATGGGTGGTAGACTTGTGTGAGTTCTGACAGGTAGGAAGGTGCTGATTGGTGATAACACTGATAAGCCAGTGCAAGCACTTTATACTGAACACGTGCATCAACAGGTAGCCAGTGCAGTTTCATCAGTATGGGCGTGATGTGCACAGATTTCTTTGATCCTGTAACTATCCTTGCGGCAGAATTCTGAATGTGCTGAAGCCTGGACATTTGTTCATTGGCGATGTTACATAAAAGACTATTACAGTAGTCCAGCTTGGATAGCACTAAACTCCTGACAAGCATATGGGCAGTCTCAGTAGACAGCAGGTGCCGGATGTTGCCGATGTTCCTGAGATGATAGTGACAAGCTCTGCAGGTCATAGTGATGTGCTGATCCATTGACAGGTCATTGTCCAGGATAACTCCCAGATTTCTAACACAGTCAGTGAAAAGAACCTGGGACTGTCCAACACTAAGAGATGAAACATTTGCCTTGTTCCGCTTATCACGTGTACCAATCAACATGGCCTCTGTCTTGTCTGTGTTTATTTTCAACATGTTTGTGTTCATCCAACACTGAATGTTGCTGGTGCAGATACCCATATGAGAGACAGCAGTCTGGGCATTCTGAGGCAGGAAGGAATCAAGTAACTGAGTGTCATCAGCGTAGAAATGGTGACCAATATTCATGGATGAGATGAGTTTTCCCAGATCAGAGGTGTAGATGGTAAATAAAACTGGACCTAGAACAGATCCTTGAGGAACACCACATTTCAACAGAGTCTTGCTGGAGGAAACCCCTTGGATAACAACAGATTGAAACCTGTCAGTGAGGTAGGATGCGAACCAGTCCAAAGCCACTCCATCTATGCCAATGGAATTCTTCAAAGTTCCAATGAGTCTCTCGTGATCGATTGTGTCGAAGGCGGAGGACAAGTCCAACAACACTAATAGGCCGACCTTACCACAGTCGCATGTTGTAAGTAACTCATTGGAAACTCTCAGAAGCGCCGTTTCAGTACTGTAGCCAGGTCGATAAGCTGATTGAAACTTATCAAGAAGGGAGTATCTTGAAAGGTGTGATGAAAGCCTCACCTTCACAGCCCTCTCAATTAATTTTGACAAAAATGTCAGGTTAGAAACGGGACGATAATTCTTTAGTTCTGAGTCATCAAGTCCTTGTTTCTTAATGAGCGGACCTACAACTGCCTCTTTAAGAACCTTAGGAACTGTTCCAGACTGGAGACTCTGGTTAACAATCCTGGTGATGACTGGAAGACGTAAGTCCATGTAAGTCAGCAGGATCTGTGTAGGAATAGGATCAAGGCTGCATGTGGTTGGCTTACTGGACTTGATAAGAGAGAGGACATCTTGTTCAGAGAAAGCTTCAAGTATGTCCAGTTTTTCTCCCACAAACTGAACCGGTACATGATCAGCATTCGAGTTTTTCCCAGAAAGTGTTTCATGGAAATTTTGACGTATCTTGTCAATCTTATCCACGAAGAAATTATTGAACTTTTCAACAAGTACATCATTAGTGTTAGCTGGAGGGAGAACAGTATCTTTCTTTCTGCCCATCAGCGCAAAGATAAAGTTGTATAGAGCACTGGATGAGTCCTTGCATTCTATAAACTTAGATGCACAATATTCACTTGAGGGGGATTCAACAGATTTAGACGATTCACAGAATTGATCAATTTGAAACAAAATCTGCAGAACTCTGTGGATCCGTGGAAAATTGCCATCCGTCACGTTTGGGGTTTGAGTCCCAACATGCTGAGTCGGGCACCTAATTGCAGTGAACTAACCCATTCAGCCACTGTAGCTTCCACAAAAGTGACAGTGTCAGAACTGATATAAAGTATGTCATATAAACACAAATGCTGCCTGAGAAAACCTTTGCACATATACATCCTTAGTAACAAAAACATCGCTCAGAAGAGTATACTACACCTCTTACAAAAATATCAACTTTTTAAGGTCACTCCATGGGAAAAGATCTTAATTTACAAATTTAGCTGAATATCCTTTGTCAAATTTTGAGACATCTTCTTCTGGCCCATATTGACAAGGATGTCATTGTGGATTCGCACCAAAGCTGTCTCCGTACTATGAGATGTCTTGTAGGCTGACTGGAACGATTCTGCGGGGTGGTTTGTCTCAAGATGCACCTTCAGTTTGCCAGCTACCACTTTCTCTAAACATTTAGATACAAATGAAAGGTTGGAGATTGAACGGAAATTTTTCAAATTGTTTTCATCAGCTCCAGGTTTCTTTAGAACCGGCGTGACAATTGCATGTTTAAAAACACTCGGAACAATACCAGAGGAGAGAGATGAGTCCATACTGTCCCATACTGCAGGTGCTAAATAGTATTGCACAGACTTGAACAGCCAGGTAGGAATTGGATCCAGTGGTGAAGATTTAGATGGTGCATTCTTCATGAATACCGTAATTTACAGCACAAAGTTAGTTTTTAGCTCTGCACTCGGCGATATTCTGTCACTAAGATTACAGCAGCTTTCAAATGACTGAGTGTGGACTAGACAATCCAGTGATTGGAAACAATGATCCATGCTGGAGTATGATGACAAGTCACCTCTTACAACCAGCATTCATTGCTGGGGATCCTCACAATGTACAATGTCCATAGAGAGGGTGTCCTTGTTACAGTTGTCCACTCCGTCGGGGGACCATGATGTTTGATTCACGCTGCTCAAACTAACCATGTTACAGTGAAGTAGTGAGTGAGTTCAGTTTTACGCCGCTTTTAGCATTATCACAGCCGGGGGACACTAGAAATGGGCTTCACACATTGTACCCATGTGGGAAATCAAACCCGGGTCTTCAGCCTGACAAACGGATGCTTTAACCACAAGGCTACCCCAATGCCCCCTTACAGTGAAGTAACATTGATCAGCAATATCTCACCATTAACAATGGGTCCCACAAATGGATCTATCTGTCCGGCTGAATCTGTAAAAGGTTGACTTATATTCAGGAGCAAGCACCACAAGTAAACAAAACACTGACTAAATTGTCTTTGTTCTCGAATTTATTTACAATGACTTTGAATCATGATTCAGTTTGATTGTAAATGCGATTCCCATGATCCAGCACTAGGCTTCATGACAATAAATAATGACTGAACTCCATTCAAGGGAACAATGACGCAGACACAAAACATCCATACAAACAACTGTACAAATCTAACATGGTACTGCTGTACACATGACCCACTGAAAATAACATTTATTTACAGTTACAAAACAAACATCATCTTTTATTTCTAAATGTACAAGTAAATGCATTGCAATTAAACTAGAATGTTTCTTATGCTGATTAAGAACAGACAGTAGACATGTTCTCAAATGAATACTATACCACTCTGGAAACTGAGGCAATTGCTTCTCATTTCTTGGACTATACATCAGAGAATTCTTGTTTTCACTAATCACATGACCAGTAACAATAAATAAATCAATGCATTTACTATGAGTTGAAGTATTTCTTCCACATTTCTTGTTCATCATAGTACAATGTCCTGCCTAAAGACTGACAAGGGATGGCTTATGTTTGATGTGCATGTGCTACAGCAGGGACTGAGGTGAAGGGGATGTCACTGCCAGTTCAATGGATTATTGCTAAGTGTTTGATATTTTTGTATGACACAACAAAGAAATGAACTTAAGATGATAACAGATGGAGTATGACATGATGAAAAACAGGAGACATTGCACTTGGGTTCATTGTAACACAGCACATTCAAACATAATATTGAGAAACACACTATCTGTACAGTCTCATTGTCCACTGTGGCCTTGACGACGGCCATCACTACATCTATGCTTGGATGTAGTTTCCTCTGCAATACTGGGACTTCAAGCCATTTCACACAGCAACCTGTGTCAGATGGTGCCCTGTTGTCGCAACCAATGTCCTACATCTCTATATTTTGCTGTTGTGACATACTTGCTGTTGTTGATACAGAATGCTGTTGTCACATACTTCTTGTTAATGACATAGAACGCTGTTGTCACATGCTTGTTGTTAATGACATAGAACGCTGTTGTCACATGCTTGTTGTTAATGACATAGAACGCTGTTGTCACATGCTTGTTGTTAATGACATAGAACGCTGTTGTCACATACTTCTTGTTAATGACATAGAACGCTGTTGTCACATGCTTGTTGTTGATACACAATGCTGTTGTGGATATTCTGTTCTGTTGATTTCCCATGCTGGATGGACTTTGGAATAGCTGTTACTTACAAGTTTTCTGTTCAGCTGCTCAATGCAGCCTACACTGGGTACCGCTGTTGTTGATCCCCTGTGCTGTTGACATTCTGTACAGTTACTTAATGCAGCCTACACTGGGTACCGCTGTTGTTGATCCCCTGTGCTGCTGACATCCTGTACAGTTACTCATGCAGCCTACACCTGGTACTGCTGTTGGTACTGTTGTTGATACTGCTGTCCCTGTTGTCCCTGCATACTATTGCCACCAGACATCTGTCGCTGTAGCTGGGCCACCAGTGCCGCTGTTGCTTGTTGCTGCTGTGTGGGGATCGCTGACTGCGACATCTGCGGCTGGGGTTGCTGCTGCTGCTGCATCTGCATCATCTGCTGCTGCTGCTGTTGTTGCCTCATCTGCTGGTAGCGCTGCTGCTGTTGTTGCTGTGGTGTCATGTAGGACGACTGTTGCTGCTGTGGCGCGGCAGGACCCATCTGATTGTAGCCAGACATGCCGCCCATGCCGGTGTTCATATTCCCCATGGGGGGCTGCATCCTGGAACAGAAACAGAGGAATTGTGCCATGACATTTTAGAATCCTGGACCTAGATTTTCGAAGCTCTCTTAGCGATAAGATAGTCGTAAGTTAATGTTAATGTATTTACGACTGTCTTAGAGCTAAGAGAGCTTCGAAAATCTAGGACCTGCATTCTGACTAGTCTTTCAGCTCAATCTAAGCTATGTTAATCCATCATTTCCGTTTGATGGAATAACTGCAAAAGAAGCAATATATATTCAGAAGCAATTCTTTTGAGAAAAGTATGTTGATAAACAAACACATCATGCCACCTTTGGTGAATCTTATGAATTTTAACAGAACTGTGCCAAGGTTTAAGCTCTTCATTACTCCCTAAAATGCAGTCCACTAAGATCTTAGCACATTATTCTCAGCTGCATGAACTCTGATAAAAATTCTAAATTCCTTAAACATCACATACCACCTAAAACAGAAAATGTTTGAAATGTAAAACATGTCCAAGCTGACAGTAACCATTAATTTCATAGTAGCCGTCATTAAACCAGCTGGACTGACAGGCAAATCACAGCCTCGCCTAGTGTTTGTAGGGAGACACAGCATGGTACCTACCTCTGAGTGGGCGTGTACTGTGCCTGAGCCTGCTGCATGGGCTGCTGGGCGATGTATCCCTGCTGCTGCATCCCGGGCTGCATCATGCTGGGGGTGTTCCCGGAGTCCTGGTATTGCTGGTTGTAGCTCTGCATCATGTTGCCCCCGATCGGATCCATCATCCGAGACGGCCCCTGCTGCTGCTGCTGCGGCTGCTGCTGCTGCTGCTGTGGTGGCTGTTGCTGCTGCATCGACCCATATGGTGCTCCCGGGTAGTTCTGGGGCATCCCTGGAAGCAACATGGCAACTCAAAACCCATCTCAGACAAACTAGATACAGTTCAGGAAACATCTTAAACAGTATCAATGGCCTTGCTAAGGGATGCAACTCTGCAAGTAGGACAAGGCGCCTGAATTCACTTGCCCATCCATTTACTGGACCAAGCCTTGAAATCTATAAGGACTCTTAACAAAGTGCACTTGTCTATAAGTAAGTATCCTTTATAATGTCAATTGATGAATATTTAGCCTTATAAACACTTCCTCTTCATTGGTTGTTATCAATTAAACTACTACAAAAATATACTATTAGTTTTAACTATATAAATATGAAATGGGGTTTCTTAGATTCCATTTGAGAATTTTAACCCACAAGTTATAATATCAACCCGTGAATACGCATGTCCAGACAAAACATTCACGCCATATTGCTGATGTGCCATATGTAGAATGTCACAATATGACAACATGGACAGTTAGACCGGTGAAGATATGGGTTAGAATTGGTCTTCAGTGACCCATAATTGTCATAAGAGGCGACTAATGGGATCAGGTGGTCAGACTCGCTGACTTGCTTGACATGTCGTCGTATCCTAATTGCATAGAACTATGCTCATGATGCTGATCACATGATTGTCTGGTCCAGACTCAATTATTATTAGACTGCCATCATATATAGGTGGAATATTGCTGAGTGCAGCGTTAAACAACATACCAACCAACATGGACTGTTGCTCACACTATCAACCACTGGTTCACCCCAACTTTCCAAGCCACTGTGACACAGCACTGATACTGCCTCCAGTGGTGGAAGCCCCCCTTGTCCCCTCACCTGGCATTGGCTGCATGGAGGAGCTGTGCATGGAGCTGTTGTTGTTGTACATGCGCTGTTTCTGCAGGATCTGCTGGCGGATGTACTGATGCTGCTGGTGTTTCTGGATCATCATGGGGTTCATGGGGTTCTGCTGCATGCCGTACTGCGCCTGCTGCGGGTGAGTGGACCGACTGCGCAGCATGCTGTTCAGGATGAACTTGGAGCTGCTGGCATTGCCAGTAAATCGCTGCCTATTAGCTGTACCAAAACATACATATATCAATGTTTATGTTTATGACAGACAACAGACATGCCTTATCGTCACACACTTCTGTAAACCATGTCACAGAAAGGTGACATTCTGACACATTTATCATTTCATCCCAATCTAATACAAACAAGGCAGTGTTACAAGTGATTCAAGCTGCTTGACATTTTCTGCAAAGTACATCATTAGAAACCTTCATCGATTCTATGCTTGAGTGCTACTACATTACAAAACCTTCCCATGTTATTGTTACAGATGTCCTGAGGCCCTTGATGTAGTCTCCTATGGCATTTTATGCAAATTACTGTCTAAATCAGAATTTTACAAGGGTTATAACAAGGATCCAAGACTTTCAACCGTAACAGTGAGTTCAGCTTCCCAAGATCTTTAACATGACTACCAAAGTGATGCAGATTTAGTAAAGCATTTACAACGGGTTCCCCCCTCAGCTGTTTGTCTGTAGTGAGTGTGTACATACGATAGTCTCCAGGGCCCGGCATGGGTTGTGAGGAGTAGCCATAGGAGGGCTGAGCCTGGGGCGGAGTCATCCAGGTGGGGTGGGGCCCGCTGGGCTGGTACATCGTCTCCTGGTATGGGTAGGGCCGGACAGGCGGCTGCATCAAGATATCAGTTTCAGTCAATACATTATGATAGCTGTACAACAATATATCAGTTGGGAGAGTTATGTGTGAGGAACTCACAATTTTGTTATAGATATTTGTTTTCTTCAAACCAGCAACAGTGGCTTTGTGTCAGTACTGTGAAGGACATATCATGTGCCAACTGTCAGAATGTCACTATACAATAAGCACTGGTCAGAGGGGCAAGTTGACATGATTGTTGATTGAGACTCTTAATAGACCTACTACAGAATACCTGTGTACATGATGGACCAGGGTTTGTTGTACCACTGGTGTATTGTGCTACCAAGGCATCATCTTAAGATGATGTCCTACATGATGTTTGAATATTGTGAGCACACACCTGTATTGCTGAGGGCTTGGGCTGACGTCTCCGTCGCTGACTTTTCTGTTTCTTGACACCTTCCTGGTTGTTGCTCTCATTTTTGTCTATCAACTTCTCCTCCTGCAATACAACACACAGATGTCATTGGAAGATGGGAGATAGTAGGAGAAAGGATATGAGTATATTGGCGATAATAAAACAAAGAATATCAGAAGAATGGGGATAACAAGACAGGATATCAGATGAATGGGAATAGCATGACAGGATATCAGAAGAATGGGGATAACATGACAGGATATCAGAAGAATGGGGATAACCTGACAGGATATCATAAAGGGATAACAAGACAGGATATCATAAGGGGATAACATGACAGGATATCATAAAGGGGATAACATGACAGGATATCAGAATAATGGGGATAACATGGCAGGATATCAGAAGAATGGAGATAACATGATGGGATAACACGACAGGATATCATAAAGGGGATAACATGACAGGATATCAGATGAATGGGATAACATGACAGGATATCAGAAGAATAGGGATAACATGACAGGATATCATAAAGGGGGCAACATGACAGGATATCAGAAGAATGGGGATAACACGACATGATATCAGAATAAAGGGGACAACATGACAGGATATCATAAAGGGGACAACATGACAGGATATCAGATGAATGGGATAACATGACAGGATATCAGAAGAATGGGGATAACACGACATGATATCAGAATAAAGGGGACAACATGACAGGATATCATAAAGGGGACAACATGGCAGGATATCATAAAGGGGACAACATGACAGGATATCAGAAGAATGGGGATAACATGACAGGATATCATAAAGGGGACAACATGACAGGATATAAGAAGAATGGGGATAACATGACAGGATATCAGAATAAAGGGGACAACATGACAGGATATCAAAGGGGATAACATGACAGGATAACAGAAGAATGGGGATAACATGATGGGATATCATAAAGGGGACAACATGACAGGATATAAGAAGAATGGGGATAACATGACAGGATATCAGAATAAAGGGGACAACATGACAGGATATCAAAGGGGATAACATGACAGGATAACAGAAGAATGGGGATAACATGATGGGATATCATAAAAGGACAACATGACAGGATATCATAAAGGGGATAACATGACAGGATAACAGAAGAATGGGGATAACATGACGGGATATCATAAAAGGACAACATGACGGGATATCAGAAGAATGGGGATAACATAACAGGATATCACATGAATGGGGACAACATGACAGGATATCAGAAGAATGGGGATAACATGATGGGATATAATAAAAGGACAACATGACGGGATATCAGAAGAATGGGGATAACATGACAGGATATCAGAATAATGGGGATAACATGACAGAAATCAGAAGAATGGGGATAACATGACAGGATATCAGAAGAATGGGGACAACATGACGGGATATCAGAAGAATGGGGATAACACAACAGGATATCAGAATAAAGGGGACAACATGACAGGATATCAGATGAATGGGGATAACATGACAGGATATCAGATGAATGGGGACAACATGACAGGATATCAGAAGAATGGGGATAACATGACAGGATATCAGAAGAATGGGGACAACATGACAGGATATCAGAAGAATGGGGATAACATGACAGGATATCAGAAAAAGGGGACAACATGACAGGATATCATAAAGGGGACAACATGACAGGATAACAGAAGAATGGGGATAACATGACAGGATATCATAAAAGGACAACATGATGGGATATCAGAAGAACTGGGATAACATGACAGGATATCAGAATAATGGGGATAACATGACAGGATATCATGAAGGGGATAACATGGCAGGATATCAGATGAATGGGGACAACATGACGGGATATCAGAAGAATGGGGATAACATGACAGGATATCAGAATAATGGGGATAACATGACAGGATATCATGAAGGGGATAACATGGCAGGATATCAGATGAATGGGGACAACATGATGGGATATCAGAAGAATGGGGATAACATAACAGGGTATCACATGAATGGGGAAAACATGACAGGATATCAGAAGAATGGAGATAACATGATGGGATATCATAAAAGGACAACATGATGGGATATCAGAAGAATGGGGATAACACGACAGGATATCAGAATAAAGGGGACAACATGACAGGATATCATAAAGGGGATAACATGACAGGATATCAGAAGAATGGGGACAACATGACAGGATATCAGAAGAATGGGGATAACATGACAGGATATCAGAAGAATGGGGATAACATGACGGGATATCATAAAGAGACAACATGATGGGATATCAGAAGAATGGGGATAACATAACAGGATATCACATGAATGGGGACAACATGACAGGATATCAGAAGAATGGGGATAACATGATGGGATATCATAAAAGGACAACATGATGGGATATCAGAAGAATGGGGATAACACGACAGGATATCAGAATAAAGGGGACAACATGACAGGATATCATAAAGGGGATAACATGACAGGATATCAGAAGAATGGGGACAACATGACAGGATATCAGAAGAATGGGGATAACATGACAGGATATCAGAAGAATGGGGATAACATGACGGGATATCATAAAGAGACAACATGATGGGATATCAGAAGAATGGGGATAACATAACAGGATATCACATGAATGGGGACAACATGACAGGATATCAGAAGAATGGGGATAACATGATGGGATATAATAAAAGGGCAACATGACGGGATATCAGAAGAATGGGGATAACATGACAGGATATCAGAATAATGGGGATAACATGACAGAAATCAGAAGAATGGGGATAACATGACAGGATATCACATGAATGGGGACAACATGACAGGATATCAGAAGAATGGAGATAACATGACAGGATATCATAAAGGGACAACATGACAGGATATCAGAAGAATGGGGATAACATGACAGGATATCAGAAGAATGGGGACAACATGACTGGATATCAGAAGAATGGCGATGACAGGACACGGGTGCTATAATGATAGGACTTTTCATACTGGATGATCTTCAGGAGAACACTTAATGATGACAGGGTAAAGTGAAAGGAATAACACAAGGATAAAGCTGTATTTATATGTATTATCATCCATGTGACGAGCACACTTACCACTTTCTCTGGTGGGGGTTCCAGGTCCTCTGGGGGGAGACTGGGGGGTTCCAGGTAGTAGCTGTTGGGCCTCTTCATGGAGTGTGTGTGGTACAGCAGCAACCTGTGCAGATCCAACAACACTTATAGCCCATGTTGGTACTGAGCCACCAAATAAACAAAACCCTAGCTTTAAACTAGTAACATGTTGCCAAACAAGTATGTGTAAAGAAACATGACATAATTCATAAACAGTATATGTAACCAAGGGCCCTGTTATATGATAGTGATATGACTGTGGCATTACTGTGATATGACTGTGGCATTACTGTGATATGACTGTGATATGACTGTGGCATTACTGTGATATGACTGTGGGTGTGACTGAACTTTCACATGACATGACTGCTGAGACTGTTGCTGTGACTCTGAAGGAGCTGTGATGTGACTATGCAATAGAAACAATGACTATGATATGACTGAAGCGGTTGCAATGTAATTGTGATGTATCAGTGCTGTGACTGTGATTTGACAGCAATGGGAAAGCAAAAGAATGTGGCTGTGATGTGGCGATGTGGTTGTGAGTGTGAATGTGACTGTTACAGAATGACTCTGTGATATCCGCCAAAAACGGTGTAAGTATCTACACCTAAACGTTGCTATTGTACAATAATGAAGTTGACCATCCATAAAGACTTGTCATTCCGACTCTGTGATAGTGACGTATCTGTCACTATGAAGTGGTCACTTACCTGTGCTGATCCTCATACTTGAGAGGCTTACGCTCCAACCTAACCGCACTGAAGTATGACCACGAGATGGGAGCTGGGTTCTTGTAGCCCTCGATCACATCCCACGGGCTGATTGGCACCTTCTGTGCTACTTGCAGACCCTGAAGAAAACATTCATGAATAATGTAATTTTTTTTGTAGAAAAATACCATTTATACTTATCCTGACTCATACTAATTGCTCTAGCATATGAGTCAGGATATCAGAAAATGTGACGCGATGGCATCATCAGTATTTTGCAGGTCCATTTCTACAAGGTCTAGGAGTCCCATGCCATGCATGAACTTGTGATACAATTGCCGAACACTGGCACAGAATGCACCGTGGGGTGGGGGTATAATCTGACCACTAGCTGGTACTGGCACAGACTCACTACAAAGCAGCTGTGTATGTATGTGGGGGACAGACATATGAAGTACTGAATGTCGCTGCTGACTGAAGGTAAGACTCCAGACATGGAATACTCATCTACAAAGCAGCTGTGTATGTATGTGGGGGACAGACATATGAAGTACTGAATGTTGCTGCTGACTGAAGGTAAGTCTCCAGACATGGAATACTCATCAACAAAGCAGCTGTGTATGTATGTGGGGGACAGACATATGAAGTACTGAATGTTGCTGCTGACTGAAGGTAAGACTCCAGACATGGAATACTCATCTACAAAGCAGCTGTGTATGTATGTGGGGGACAGACATATGAAGTACTGAATGTTGCTGCTGACTGAAGGTAAGACTCCAGACATGGAATACTCATCTACAAAGCAGCTGTGTATGTATGTGGGGGACAGACATATGAAGTACTGAATGTTGCTGCTGACTGAAGGTAAGTCTCCAGACATGGAATACTCATCAACAAAGCAGCTGTGTATGTATCTGGGGGACAGACATATGAAGTACTGAATGTTGCTGCTGACTGAAGGTAAGACTCCAGACATGGAATACTCATCTACAAAGCAGCTGTGTATGTATGTGTGGGACAGACATATGAAGTACTGAATGTTGCTGCTGACTGAAGGTAAGACTCCAGACATGGAATACTCATCTACAAAGCAGCTGTGTATGTATGTGGGGGACAGACATATGAAGTACTGAATGTTGCTGCTGACTGAAGGTAAGACTCCAGACATGGAATACTCATCTACAAAGCAGCTGTGTATGTATGTGGGGGACAGACATATGAAGTACTGAATGTTGCTGCTGACTGAAGGTAAGTCTCCAGACATGGAATACTCATCTACAAATTCACACAAAAACTGTGCCATAAGCATATCCTGCTCGCCTATTTCACAATCAGCACATAGCAACACATATTTTCACATTCTGTACACCATGTTCAAGAGGTGAGGTGAAATTGGGTTTGTTGTACCCATGTAATGCCGCTTCTTGTACTAGCCCAGACTGAAGCTGGTTTTATAGTGGACCAACAACCATGCCATATGAATTTACTCGACACATTTTGGTATGACCAGTCCTTGTTGTACCCATTAATCGAAGCGCCAGGCAGGGACCAACAAGTACCTTCCGCTTTTTCCATGGCGGTCGGGGGCTCTAACCGACTTACTCTCCAGGCGGACGAGGAGGCGCCACCATGTTCAAGAAGTCATGACAGAAATAACAAGCATTGTCACTGAGGCCGCAAATTATCAAATCAAACTTAAAAAGTAACAAGAAGATAAAGTCATCAATATCCCCCGCAACGGCAAAATACTCTTTATGAATGTGTCTACTAGTTATGATATGTCAAATGTTTTGGAGTGTATACAGCAAAGTGGAAGGAGAGTATTGAAAGGTTTTTAAGATCTGCTCCAGAAAGGAGCACTACCATCAAATTAAGTTGAAGCGTAACTTGTTGCCATGGAAATGCAACAAGATGACATCCTCATAGTCACAGCCTAAGTCATGATTCCATGGAAACCACAAAAAATAAAATTCATATCTGAGTCTAACCCCCAAAAGGCACATCTAGGTATCATGCTTGATATGAGTACCAAGTTTGATGAAGCTAGCATGTATAATTTATGAGATCTGCTCCGGACAAGATGAAATACTCATAGCCACAGCCTAACTCACGTTTCCAAGGAAACCGCAAAAAATAAAATTCACATCTGGGGCTAAACCCCAAAAGGCAAAGCTAAGGATCATGCTTGACACATGTACCAAGTTTGATGAAGCTAGCATGTATAGTTTAGGAGATCTGCTCCGGACAAGATGACATCCTCATAGCCACAGCCTAAGTCATGTTTCCATGGAAACCGCAAAAAATAAAATTCACATCTGGGTCTAACCCCGAAAAGGCACATCTAGGGATCATGGTTGATATGTGTACAAAGTCTGGTTAAGCTATCACAAATAGTTTAGGAGATATTCTTCGGACGAAACTCGTTTCTATATCAACTTAACCAAACCTGAAGAGGTTTTCAATTCTTCGAAGAGAGTCGTCCTTGGGGTACATATTATGCATTTTCCACGCTGAAAATGTCCTGTGACAGTTGTATCAATGTTTTTTGAATAAAAAGATTGTACAATAAATAAACTTTTTTATTTATTATACGGACCCCACCTCGTGGAGTTACCTCCCGTTGAGCATGCGCACCAACTGGGTAATCACCTAGGCCCGTATCATCATTCCTTCTGCTGAATAAATCAGTGAACAGAATTGCGGGGAGTGGGGAGGCGGGAGGCCCTACCCCAAGGAAGACTCTCTTCGAAGAATTTAAAACCTCTTCAGGTTTGGTTAATTCTTCTTCATAGAGATCGTCCTTGGGGTACATATTATGCATAAACACAGACTCCCAAAGACCGGAGGCCAGGGAGGAGGGAATTCTGTCCAAGCACATACAAATAGCTATCGTTAATTGAAAAATGTAACAGACGCCATAACACTCACCTGTCACATGTCCCAGTTTTCGCTTCCGCGAGAGGCATTATGGGAGGGGAACTGACAGGGAGGATTGTACTCGAAGACGACCTCAAAGGTTCGCATAGGAACTCGCACATGGTGCGAAATGTAAACAAAGCCCCACATACCTTGTGTCGATTAGTGAGCACCGTACGGGGGAATGTCAAAAACACTCACAATCGACCTAAATACTCCGGAGAGGATCGAAATGAGGTTATTTAGCTCCCAATAGCGGATATGTCAATAAAACTCAGTATTGAACAGCAGTGTCAACAAAACCAATGCACCAAGACTCACTCGGTCAGGGTGGCAGGACACTGTCCACTGGAGAGAACAGAACGGCCAAAGCTCGCACGATTACGGGAATGCGTATCGAGCTGATAATGCCGAATAAACGTGCTAGGCGGCTCCAAATAGCGGCAGAGCAGATCTCTTCAATGGGGAGTGCCGATGCAAAAGCTTTTGATGCGGCTACTGCCCTGACCGAGTGAGCCTTCAACCCCTCAGGGGGAGGCTTGCCCTTAGCCTGATAAGCAGCACAGATACACGAAACTAGCCAGCGAGACAAAGTCTGCTTGCTCGCTGGCACACCAGCCTTCCCGCCACCGTAACAACAGAACAGCTGGGTACCCGTACGGATCCCCTGCGTTCGTTTGATATAGACCTTGAGAGTCTTACGGACATCCAACGGGTGAGTGCTCGTTGCAGAGGTCCACGATGTAGAAGGCTGGGTAAGAGTGGGAAGTTCGATAGGAGCTGTCACATGGAAAGCGTGATCGACCTTCAGGCGGTACGTATCCGGGAGGCGAATACTGACACGATCAGTGTGAAACACAGTCAGCGCCTGGTCGGACGACATAGCATGACCGCCACCAGAAAAACAGCCTTCCAAGTTAACAACTGAATGGAAATAGCCGATAGGTGTGAGAAAGTGGGACCGGACAGCCAATCGAGCACAATTGACAAATCCCAAGGTGGGCTGGTTCGCCTGACAGCAGGTCGAACCCGATCCACGCCAGCTAAAAAGAGGTACGAGAGGGTGCTGCCCCAGAAGAGCACCATCGACAGGGGTGTGAAAGGTGGAAATAGCGGTGGAGTAGCCACGAATGGTCGAAGCCGCCAGGCCTTCTTCCAAACGGGCTTGCAAAAACTCCAATACTCGGACTAAATCCGCAGAAAAGGGATCTGCAATCCCCCTATCTGAACACCAGCGCGCATAGCGGGACCACCTATCCTCATACTGAATGTTTGTCGAATCCGCTACCGAAGCCAGAATTGTGTCTGCAACTGCTGCAGGAATTCCGCGTGCCTCGAGGCTAGACCTGACAGAGGCCAAGCCACCCACTGAATCCTTGGATTGGGGTGGGGCGCTCCGTTCTGAGTGAGAATGTCCGGTCGTAAAGGTAATAGAACAGGAGGCTGAGCCAGAAACCTGAGAATTACCGGAAACCAGCTCTGTGACGGCCAAAGCGGTGCCAGTAGCACAAGCAGCCGAGCTGGCTGGGTGGACAGCTGTGAAAGGACACGGGGAATGAGTGGTAACGGCGGGAACGCCCAGAGCACTTTGCCCGTCCAATCCAGCATGAAGGCGTCGGCAGCCAACGCCCTGGGGTCCGGTATTCGAGAGCAGAACACGGGTGTCTGATTCGTCCCGCCGGACGCAAACAGATCCACCTGGAACGACCCGTGCAACTGGGAGATAACTCCGAATATCTGCCGGGCCAGGATCCGGCGAGAGAGAGCGTCTGCTCGCACGTTCTCCAGCCCCAGGAGATAAACAGGGAGTACCTGACAATCGCACTGGTCGCACCAGAGGAGAAAGTCCCATGTCTCCCGGAGGAGCGCTCGGGACACCGTGCCGCCTTGCTTCAGGATGTACGACATGGCCGTCTGGTTGTCCAACTGAAGACGAACCACCTGTCCCTGGACATGCTCTTGGAAGCGCTCGAAAACCAACCGCACAGCTCTCAGTTCCAACACGTTGATGTGAAGGTGGGCTTCGGCTTCGGACCGGAGTCCGGACGCCGACAGACTGCCCAGAACACCCCCCCAGCCCGTGAGGGACGCATCGGTCTGAACTGTAAGAGCTGGCGTCGGGATTTCCAAGGGGATCCCCCTGGTGAGATTCCCGACATTGGTCCACCACTGAAGGTGAGGTGTCAACCACCCGGGGACTGTGAGACTCCGCTCCAGGTCTTCCGAGTGAGCCCACAGACTCGCCAAAGCTTGCTGTATAGGGCGCATCCTCAACCGCGCCCGCCACACTACAGAGATCGTCGCCGCCATATGGCCCAGTAGACGGAGCCAAGTCCGTGCTGGTGCCTGGGGCTGGGAGAGGAACGAAGACACCATCTCCCGTACTCTGGTGACCGGTCGGGCGACAGGAAACAAGATCCTTGTGTGTTTGGAACCTCGAGAAAAACCAAGTCCTGGGTGGGTACCAGGTCGGATTTCTTGAGGTTGATGATCCACCCCAGTCGAACTAGAATGTCTATCACCTTGTGAGTAGAATCTAGGCTCGCTGGCTGTGTCAGTGCACCGAGCAACCAGTCGTCGACGCCTTCCTTGCGAGCGAGCGAGGGTAGCCGGGACTAACATGAGCTTGGTGAACACCCTTGGGGCAGTCGATATGCCGAAGGGGAGCACCGTGAATTGGTAACACATCCCGTCGTAAGAGAACCGAAGGTACTGCTTGAACGATGGATGTATGGGCACATGCAGATATGCATCCTTGAGGTCGATTGACGTGAGCCAATCGCAGGGCTGAACAGATGAGATCACCGAGCGCAGTGTCTCCATCTTGAAGGATGGTACTTCGAGCATGCGATTCAACCCCTTGAGGTTGAGAATGGGACGGAACCCGCCGTCTTTCTTCGGAACGAGGAAGTACGTGGAGTAAAATCCCGCCTGTTCCTCGTCCGGTGGTATGCGCTCGATTGCGGACTTGTCCAGCAAAGCCTGGACTTCGTCGCGCAATATGTCCGCCCTTGCCTGACATGGCAGCACCGGAGTGCGGCGTATGCCGGTGAAGTCGGGCGGGCCTCGCTTCCACAGTGGTAAATGGCCGACACTGACGTTGGACAGCACCCAAGTGTTGTTTGTAGCCTTCTCCCCTCCGGCAGGAATAGAGAGGCTGACCTCCCACTGGGACGTTGGGTAAGAGCGCGTGCATGGTCCCGAGTAGCGGAGCTGACTGGGAATGACACACGGCTGGGTCTACAGCCTGATGGGTTAACGGGAGGTCGGGGCAGACCTCCCGCGCCCGCGAAAAGGCTGGGAGCTAGTCGAAGAGGACTGCTCTTTGCCCTTACCCTTGGCGGACCCGGTTCCTCCACCTACCTGCCAAGCGGCGAAGCCAGCCAGCGGACTTCGGTGTAGGCTGCACCCGGCGGAGGAAGGTGGAGCGGAGCTGAGCGGGCGAAGCCAGCGCTGGTGCTCCAACAAGGCCTTAGAGTCCTTGAAGGAGGTAGCTGCAGCGGCAGCCTCCCGTATGACCTGCTGGGCCCCAGGAAACAGCGTCGCTCCCAGACGGTAGGGAAGGGCCAGCAAGGTCTGCTGTGTAGCTGCCGAGTACCGAGACGTCAACAGCCACAGCTTGCGCATCCCCATGACTGTGCACATCACCGTCGACGCAGCTGACCGCAAGGAGTCGCGAGCGAGGTGTGCCTGAACTCCGGAGAACTGACGGAGTAGCACGACATGCGGAGAAACGTCTCCAGCATGCCCCTCCGCCTCCAGGGCCGACCTCTGGATCGAGGAGAGGTAGGCCTCATGGACCACAACCCGCACCTGCTGCATAGCGTTCCGGTAGACCTCCTCGTAGGTCCGATACGCATGCCGCAGGGGGGCGCCCGCGAGGGCAAACGGTGGTGGTAAACGCCCTTGCCGAGCAGCCGGAGCTGCTCCGGAGGAAGCCGAGCCTCCCCCCAAGGCGACCGAAGTAAACACGCACTCATCCACCATTGGAACAGCGAACAGGGAATCCTCCCCCAGCTGGTACCTCCGGACAAGCTCAGGCAAGTCGAAACGGAGGCGAGACCCAGACAGGAGGGGAATGACCACGTCCTGGACCAACGACGGAAGAATACGGAGCAGCGTCTGCGTAGGCTGCCGAGGGGCAAACGCCTCGCCTGACAGGCGGAACTCAGACGAGTCCGAGCGGATGGCAGGCACCGCGGCCTGGGGTAGGAACTCGGCAATGCGTTGCCGGACCTCCCGCAAAGCCTGACGAAAAACGGAAGGCACCCTCCTGCTCCTCAACCTCCCCAGTATCCATGGACTCGGCACCCGAGCCCGAGTCAGAGGCTGGGTCTCCTCGCGAAGAGGACCCGAACCCCGACACGGTGGGCGGTCTAGCACCAGGCACAGAAGAGAGGGAGGAGCAGACAGAGAGCCCCGCATCAGCACCTGCCATCTCGCACAGACCCTGGTCCCGAGACGCTGGAGGCAGACCAGGCAGAACTGGTGCCTCCGCTCTCATGGGGCGGGACGGCGCAGGGACCGGAACCCCAGGAATACTCAACGGACCCTGCGCCAACTCCGAGAGGGGGACTGGGAGCGAACCCTCCCCCTCCGGGGCAGCCGCGGCGTCCGGATCCGAAGCCAGAGGCAACGGATCTACAGACGCCTCAAGGCCGAGGGATCGAGCCGGGCTCGGCGATCCCACCCCCAGACTCTCCGCCCCCCGCGCAGAGTGGGCGAGGAACTCCTGCCGGAGCCCTCCAACCGACTCATGAACGAGGGACTTCATCGAGTCCACGTGCTGCTGGAACAACTGAGTTATTAACGACCTTGACTAGGAGCGGGAGAAGGCGACTGGCTACGCGACTTTCTGCCCTTACTGTGAGGCTTTTTCGCTTTGGACGGGGGGACCTGGGTCAGTTCCCCACCCGCCTCACGCATCTCTCTATAAAAGAGAAAATCCGCCGCCCTTCTCTTCTGGGCCCGGGGGGAAAAGCCCATGCAAATCTCACAGGTTTCTGAGATATGATCCGTTTTCTCCAAACACACGATGCATTTATCGTGGCGGTCGGCCCTGGGTATGCTTTGCCCACAGACCGAACAGGAGGAAAGCGCCTGAAAGCAAACACGCACGCATGTAGCTAACAGCGGACCAGCAGCTAAGATACACGTAGAAAACATTGAAAAATACGTGAAGGCTACCACGGGAAGCAATAGTTGGTTGAATACGCAATATTACAACCACGTGGCACGCTAAACTTCCCGCCATGGCAGAGCAACATGTGCGTAAACCACGGGAAAGTGAGCGTAAAATAATTTAATACAAAGTCACAATTATGAAACAACCGACCGCGAAGCTTTACTGTTCCTTTCAAGGACAAAATAAAGACCATACATACAGGTGGTGTTGTCTCAGACATAGCTCTTTTGAGTTCTCTTGGAGAATACAGCGCTGCTCTACACATTAACACGTCTATACACGTGAGTGACAGCAGAAGGAATGATGATACCGGCCTAGGTGATTACCCAGTTGGTGCGCATGCGCAACGGGAGGTAACTCCACGAGGTGGGGGCCGTATAATAAATAAAAAAGTTTATTTATTGCACAATCTTTTTATTCAAAAAACATTGATACAACTGTCACAGGACATTTTCAGCGTGGAAAATGCATAATATGTACCCCAAGGACGATCTCTATGAAGAAGAATTCATTGTTGCGGGGAATAATAAATGTCAACAAAAACATGACCAGTCAGCCTCTCTTGATACCTTGCTCTGTAGTTGTTCAAACACACAATTGTTTTGTAACAACAAACACAGCTTAAGTCAAACTGATGAACCACAAAAACCAGAAACAAAAGAAAGACACCATTAGTGGCAATGGTGTTAAAATGGTAGTCTGTATGTCATCAGAATGTTAAAATGGTAGTCTGTATGTCATGAGTGTTAAAATGGTAGTCTGTATGTCATGAGTGTTAAAATGGTAGTCTGTATGTCATCAGAATGTTAAAATGGTAGTCTGTATGTCATCAGAATGTTAAAATTGTAGTCTGTATGTTATCAGAATGTTAAAATGGTAGTCTGTATGTCATCAGAATGTTAAAATGGTAGTCTGTATGTCATCAGAATGTTAAAATGGTAGTCTGTATGTCATGAGTGTTAAAATGGTAGTCTGTATGTCATGAGTGTTAAAATGGTAGTCTGTATGTCATCAGAATGTTAAAATGGTAGTATTTATGTCATCAGAATGTTAAAATGGTAGTCTGTATGTCATCAGAATGTTAAAATGGTAGTCTGTATGTCACCAGAATGTTAAAATGGTAGTCTGTTTGTCATCAGAATGTTAAAATGGTAGTCTGTATATCATCAGAATGTTAAAATGGTAGTCTGTAAAATGGTAGTCATCAGAATGTTAAAATGGTGTCTGTATGTCATCACAATGTTAAAATGGTAGTCTGTATGTCATCAGAATGTTAAAATGGTAGTCTGTAGTCTGTCATCAGAATGTTAAAATGGTAGTCTGTATGTCTGTTAAAAAATAGTCTGTATGTCATCAGAATGTTGTCAGAATGTTAAAATGGTAGTCTGTCATCAGAATGTTAAAATGGTAGTCTGTATGTCAGAATGTTAAAATGGTAGTCTGTATGTCATCAGAATGTTAAAATGGTAGTCTGTATGTCATCAGAATGTTAAAATGGTAGTCTGTATATCATCAGAATGTTAAAATGGTAGTCTGTATGTCATCAGAATGTTAAAATGGTAGTCTGTATGTCATCAGAATGTTAAAATGGTTGTCTGTATGTCATCAGAATGTTAAAATGGTAGTCTGTATGTCATCACAATGTTAAAAAGAACAGCATCTGGACATCATATGTTAGTTTACCTGTTTCTTCCCGATGGAGTCGAAGCCAGTGATCTTGTTGCCCTTGCTATCGACCAGACTACCATGTGACTCGCATGTTATCACCTCGTACATCTTCTTGTGGAGGGGTAACAGGAGTCGGAGTGAGTCCGTGCAGTCGGTGTGCTTGTCTGCTATCTCTCTCTGTCAACACAACAATGGGAAACAGAGAGGGTCATTGGAATGCTGCTGCAGTGAGCAATATTCAAACTATATCACAATGAACTGTGATAATCTGACAAACCAGTGGTTGAAAGCATGAGCAGTGATCCCCACTGTCAGGGCAGGATAATACTAATAATAGCAATTACAAGTGAACCGATCTTGAGATATCTTGCTGACAATCTTAACATACTGAAATTTTCAAAGTGCCAGTGTGACCTTGACAATTACGTGAAGGTCACCAAAATCGATTGGGCCCTGCGCCTTGTCGCTGTGACCTTGAAAATTACGTGAAGGTCACCAAAATCCCCATGATGATCCCCTGCACATTCCCTAGATGAAGCTTGGTGTTGAATATGAAGAAAATCCAGTGAACGGTTCTTGAGATATCTTGCTGACACAGGTAAAACATTACAGTCCCCTTGTGACCCTGAAATGAAGGTCATGGTCACCAAACCTGACTGGGACCTTTTGCATACTGTGATGAACCTAGGTACCAAGTATGAAAAGAATCTACTCAACAGTTCTTAAGATATTCCACTATATCCCCCGTCTCGAGCTAAACACATGTCGGGGGATAATAATGCATGGTACCTCATCACCACACAAGAGCATGGTGAGCGTGCTACATTATTATTATACTGGCCAGTCTGTGGACACTCATATTTATATTCTCCACTCCCTGAGGAGTATACATCTCCAGCTGGAAGTGAGACAGCCAGTTTGTCTAATCACCCATCCTTTCATCCAGTCATCATTAGTGTACACTTACAACAGGCATGAAGTACTCCTGGACTTTCCTGCATAAAATCCCAACAAGGGCCAAAACATCACAAATACTGCTGTATCTATGAACTCCACAGAGCAACTTCCTACTCTAATACTAAGATATTATGGGTTTGACAAAGCACCTAGAATACATAATCTTATTATTTCCCACAAACTGACTTGGCCATCAGTTACGTTGGTTACGAACAAGTCTATCACAAAGTATTCACAGAAGTGAAAAATATGTATGCAATGTTTCAATTAGCTATATAATACAGTCAAATCCCGATGAGTCGAATGCCGGTGTCTCGAATATTATGCATAACTCGAAGTACCTGTCGGTTCCGACCATTCCCTGTTATAGTTGTCATCATTTGAATACCGGTTACACGAATTCATCTCATAAATACACACGATGACTCGAGAAGGAAATTTGGTCCCATGAGATTCAAACAACAGCAATCTTGTATACATAAGCCGAAGTCAGTGAATGAGAAGCTGATTGGTGTAGCAAACTGATCCAAATAACAAACCAGCGCGGCTCTCACCTTTCCACCATTGATGGGTGAGTTCAAAAGGAAGATTAGTGATTTTTACGGAAATCACTGTCTGTGCTAATCAGACTGGAACTGATAAGGTGTCCCTATTAGTGATATGGAAATCATTAGATAAACACATGCTTAGGAGGAAGAATAAGGACTGGATCATCTTTTTTTCTACCCTCATAGACATACCTATGTCTCGAATACATCGATAAGTCGAAGTTATTACTTGGTCCCCAGCGATTCGACTCATCGGGATTTGACTGTAATTTGCAAAATGATAAGAAGAATGTACTTGCAGCCCACCAAGCATCAACTTCTGTTATGATAGTGGTGATCAATACATGTGACATGTCTGTTGTAGGCTCACCCTGAGTTTCTTGGTGAGGATGTTGTATGTCTTGGTGTTGTCGTCAGCCTTGTCGGAGCCATCTGGCAGCAGCGTTCCGTGTATCAACACAGACAACATGTCGATAATCGTCATGAACAACTCACTGTAATCAACATGGTAAAATGGACATAATAATTTGGTACAGATTGTGAGAATTCAGTAAATACATGTGCTCCTTAACAATGTCACACACACAGCTATGTGTAATGGCTTTACAACAGGCCTCCATCAAGACACAAAGGAAGAAACTGAGTGTCAGATTTGTTCCAATTATATCAGCTACATTTGTCAGGATACTGTGAAATACTGAAAGTCCTAAGGTGATGCAAGCAGCTTCAGCAAAATCCCCGAGCACACATGGTGCTGATAAATCTAGAAACATTCAGGCTGAACCAAGACCTCAACAGATTTGATGCCACATCTAAACCACATTGAAATGCTTCATATGATTAGGCCAGGAGAGCCCCTGGAGTGACAGATCACATTTAGTATTGAAGCAGCTCACCTCTGTGTATAGTATCCGGTGAATGGGTTTGTTCTTAATGACTTACTTGTTGGTTTGTATGTCGACCACATCATGACTGATGAGCTGCACCAACAACATGGCCCAGTCGGTGGTGTTGGTGTTGTTGCGCTGGATGGTGTCAAACATCCCCCCGACCTACAAACAAACATCACAGCTGGAGAAATCGACTACATACATGTCCTACACCTGGAAATACTGAAAGTTGGATTGAAAGAAAACGCTGTATATTAGCATGAGAGTTTTACTTCAAATCCAGCAGACTTAGCTTGAAATATAATGCTAAAAGGGTCAAACTGGTGAATAAAGAGCATGAACAGGTGAATACATAATAATCTTTCTTCTATAACCTATGTACAATTTGATTTAAAATTTGAATTACATCACAATAGTCAAATTTTTATGCAATTGCAATTGCTATATCTTCGCAATATGGGTGTCATTAGGAGTCAATAGAAAAGCCTAAGTTAAGACCAGTGATCATAAATAAGTCCCTCCTTGTAGAAACGCCAGACCATGAAGAGTAATCAAGTCTCACCAATAATGGTCGACTGTACACAAACACAGCTGAGACAACAGTTCTCTTCAATACTTGAGGAAAAAGCCTCAAAGTAATGAAAAGCATGAGTTACTGTGTACTCCTCAGAAGAGTAAAGCACCTGACCAACACTCACCAGTGAGAGACGCAGCTGAAGAGATTCATGGATATTCTGTCGGATTTTTGTTTCATCTGGGTATTTGTCCTGAAAACAAGGAACACATGTAGTTCACATAAAACCTGTATGGACTAGCAATTAAGTTGCTATCTATTCACATCTGTGTGCTTTCTGTAGGTTGCCAATCAACACAAATGATAAATGTTTGATCTCATTCATGAACACTTGACAGTTTAAATTGTCAAGCTGTGGTTGATAGACCCGTGAAGATCCGGGTTAGAATTGGTCTACAGCAACCCTTTCTTGTCATAAGAGGTGACAATCCTAGGGATCTATTCTACCACAGACTCCAACACAGGGCTATCATCACATCTCACAGAACCTACCAGTAGTTCCCTTGTGTTGTTGATGAACTTCTCCAGCTGACTGTGTAGGGAGTTGAGGAGCCCCTCTCGCTGCTCGTCCTGACCCTTCAAACATGTGAGCACCAGAGACAGGAAGGGCTGATGTCCGAGCAGGGACTTGCTGCAACACATTAAACAACATTAGTCGTTCATCTCCAGCCAATAGGATACTACATCAAATCAGGTCATGGTCACATATAACTAACCCTAAAGGTCCTCCTTATGTCATTAATGCACTCAGAATATTGTTATCACCAAGTGTATGTATTTCTGGTGAAGTAATGGGTCAATGAACCATCCTCTGTTCAGGGGATTTTAAGGGATTCAAAGATTTTGTCCATCCAAAACAATTCGTAAAAGCGTTTTATCTGTATTAAGTAGTCATCTTAAGCCAATGTCCAGAGGTTACACACATATGAGGTCAACTCAGATAAAGAAATCCAATAATATATGTCACACCTGGTTTAGTCTATAACCTACCTCTTCTGGTTCTTCTCTTTGTCCATCTTACTTTTCATGGTGACAAAGTCGTTGCCGCTCTCTAGTACCTGTCCTGCCAACTTGAGTACTCTCCCCTGGATTGTGTTGGGCAGCTTTGAGATGAGAGGAGCCACAAGCCAGACACTGTCCTTGTCAACCTCAAGTCTGAAAGGTCATAAGATTATATTGAAGTTGATTCAAGGTCAAGGTCAACTCATTGGTAACATTGGTTTGCTATTGATCACCATAACTTTACAATGTTCAACTGGATCAGATGATGCACAACAAAAGTGAAAAGTCTCAAATTTATATCTGCTTGTATTTCATCATGTTGTCTGATATGATAAGAATGGACATTGCCTGTGAACCTCTTAAAACAAGACATCTTGATTGATTGAGTGAACGTCATTGTAGCAATGTTCTAGGTGTACATGGTTGAGATGGATTCCAAGAATGAGCTTGTTCCAGAAGCGGGGACTATCAGAGTACTAAGAGAACATTTTACCAGGAGACTACATTCTATAGCCCTTTGTCACAATACATGGACAAACGGACAAGACATTATTCTGAGAAGCATGTATGATTACTTGTTGGTTTCTTGTGGGGACGCCGATCCTGCAGAAGACTTGCTGTACTCGGTCTGCTGGTGGAACAGGTCTATCGTACCCTTGGCTATGTTGTCCAGGATGTTGTTGGTCTCCTGGAGATCATAACATGAGAGTCAGTCATATGTTATGAGTCAGATACAATGTGAAAGACAGTAAAAACACCAGAATCAGGTATGATAGGAACTCAGTCATGTCATGGGAGTAAGTTATAACACTGGAGTCAGTCAGGTCATGGAGTCAGATGTGAAGTCAGTTATAACATGAGTCAGTCATATCATGGAGTCAGATGTGAAGTCAGTTATAACATATGAGTCAGTCATATCATGGAGTCAGATGTGAAGTCAGTTATAACATATGAGTCAGTCATATCATGGAGTCAGATGTGAAGTCAGTTATAACATATGAGTCACTCATATCATGGAGTTAGATGTCAAGTCAGTTATAACATATGAGTCACTCATATCATGGAGTTAGATGTGAAGTCAGTTATAACATGAGTCAGTCATATCATGGAGTTAGATGTGAAGTCAGTTATAACATATTCATATCATGGAATGATGAGTCAGTTATAACATATGAGTCAGTCATATCATGGAGTTAGATGTGAAGTCAGAAGTCAGTTATAACATATGAGTCAGTTATCATATCATGGAGTTAGATGTGAAGTCAGTTATAACATATGAGTCACTCATATCATGGAGTCAGATGTGAAGTCAGTTATAACATATGAGTCACTCATATCATGGAGTTAGATGTGAAGTCAGTTATAACATATGAGTCACTCATATCATGGAGTTAAGTCACCATATCATGTGAAGTCAGTTATAACATATGAGTCACTCATATCATGGAGTTAGATGTGAAGTCAGTTATAACATATGAGTCACTCATATCATGGAGTTAGATGTGAAGTCAGTTATAACATATGAGTCACTCATATCATGGAGTTAGATGTGAAGTCAGTTATAACATATGAGTCACTCATATCATGGAGTTAGATGTGAACTCAGTTATAACATATATGAGTCAGTCATATCATGGAGTTAGATGTGAAGTCAGTTATAACATATATGAGTCACTCATATCATGGAGTTAGATGTGAACTCAGTTATAACATATGAGTCATCTGCATAAAGTTTGCAGTTAGTGGAAAAATTCATCTTCGATGTAACCACATAGATGAATAACATATAGTGACTGCTTTAAGTGAGTCTAAACTTTTGATGGGTAGTATATTTTCTCCTGTTCATTAGCTGGTAGTATCCAAGTTACTTACAGTTTGCGTTGTGGCCTGTTTGAACATGAGCTGCACCTCCAGCCAGGACACACGCAGCGACCACTGGTCAAGTGTCTGCAACATGGACATCATCATCATCATCATCATCATCATCATCATGCTACTCAATTATTGGTCATACACAACCAACTAAGTGTAGGGCCTTTATGAGTCTCACTAAACATAGGCACAATATCAGCCAGGCATGCTTCAAACAGATTTGTTAGGACATTCTTACTGGTTCACAAATACACATTCTTTTCAAGATACTTAGACCTTTTCAAGATGGATTCCAAAGGAAGGCCATTTGTCAGATGATTCTAATTCTATGCGTTTTGAAAGCAGATTCCAATTCACAGCCTTTTCAAGCTTGTGCAAACCTTGTTACTATCAGTTTTTCATTTGCTTCCATTTTATCAAACAATACCTAACTGAATTAAAAAAGCAGGCCATTTGGCATTTATACTAGTGGTACCCTGCCTGGTTGTGAGAATTAATATTGTTGTATATTTTATTACAAAATGTTGTTACCCACCTCCAGGATCCGGAGGATGACCTGCTTGTTGTCTGGCTCACTGCCCTCCACCTGGTTCGGGACACCCTTGGGGTAGCAGATCATCTGGAGAAGCTGCTGGGCCTGGGGGATAGAGCACAGTGTCAGACAGAAGCGGCATAGTTTAATGTCCACAGACACCATAGCTGGGCTACCAGATCATCTGGAGAAGCTGCTGGGCCTGGGGGATAGAGCACAGTGTCAGAGAGAACCGGCATAGTTTAATGTCCACAGACACCATAGCTGGGCTACCAGATCATCTGGAGAAGCTGCTGGGCCTGGGGGTTAGAGCACAGTGTCAGACAGAACCGGCATAGTTTAGTGACCACAGACACCATAGCTGGGCTACCAGATAATCTGGAGAAGCTGCTGGGCCTGGGGGTTAGAGCACACTGTCAGACAGAACGGGCATAGTTTAGTGTCCACAGACACCCTAGCTGGGCTACAAGATGATCTGTAGAAAGCTCAGTACTTCTTTCACTGTCATGATATTCTTAAAGAGTATACTTCATTATGTTCACAAGACTCTGCTGTACCCTGCTCAGTCAATATAGGTTGCCACAGTTGGCTGATGATCCTGACTACATTACCAATTATGACGCTTCAATTGAACATCCCACAAATCCCACATGGAGTGTGCGGTTTTACCTGTTTGTTGCTGAGCATTGGGTCGATGAGAGTGTCTCCATCAAACAGGCGCTCTGGGTCTTTGAGGAACTTTTCCTGAACCCACGTCTGGTCACACATCTCCTTCAGGGCATGCTTTGAGAACTCACTCAGCCCAGCGCTCTCCATTCCCGTCTTTGTGCTCTTCGATGGGGCACTTCTCAAACAACATGGCTAAAGTTAATCTTTTTCTTCTAATTATAGGACTAGGATCCTATTGAGACATATAGCATGAAGATAATGAGTGAGTGACTTTAGTTTTACGCCACACTCAGCAATATTTCAGCTACATGGCGGCGGTCTGTAAATAATCGAGTCTGGACCAGACAATCCAGTGATCAACAGCATGAGCATCGATCTGCACAATTGGGAACCAATGACATGTGTCAACCAAGTCAGCGAGCCTGACCACCCGACCCCGTTGGTCGCCTCTTACGACAAGCATGGGTTACTGAAGATCAATATTGTAACCCGGACCTTCACGGGTCAGCATAAAGATAACAAAAGATCAGCACCCTGGATAGGACATCAAGGGGAGACCACTGCACAAAGCATGAAAACAAGGGGAGATCACTATACACAGCATGAAGGCAAGGGGAGATTACTGTACTCAGCAAGAAGACAAGAGGAGATCACTATACTCAGCATGAAGGCATGGGGAGATTACTGTACTCAGCAAGAAGACAAGGGGAGATCACTATACACAGCATGAAGGCAAGGGGAGATTACTGACAAGGGGAGTCAGCAAGAACTGTACTCAGCAAGAAGACAAGGGGAGATCACTATACTCAGCATGAAGGCATGGGGAGATTACTGTACTCAGCAAGAAGACAAGGGGAGATCACTATACACAGCATGAAGGCAAGGGGAGATTACTGTACTCAGCAAGAAGACAAGGGGAGATCACTATACTCAGCATGAAGGCATGGGGAGATTACTGTACTCAGCAAGAAGACAAGGAGGAGATCACTATACTCAGCATGAAGGCAAGGGAGATTACTGTACTCAGCAAGAAGACAAGGGAGATCATATACTCAGCATGGACAGGCATGGGGAGATTACTGTACTCAGCAAGAAGGGGGAGATCACTATACTCCAGCATGAAGGCATGGGGAGATTACTGCACTCAGCAAGAACACAAGAGGAGATCACTATACCTCAGCAGCATGAAGGCAAGGGGAGATTACTGTAGTCAGCAAGAAGACTAGGAGATCACTATACTCAGCATGAAGGCATGGGGAGATTACTGTACTCCACTATAGGGGAGATCAGCATGAAGGCATGGGGAGATTACTGTACTCAGCAAGAAGACAAGGGGAGATCACTATCACAGCATGAAGGCATGGGGAGATTACTGTACTCCAGCAAGAAGACAAGGGGAGCAACACAGCATGAAGGCAAGGGAGATTACTGTACTCAGCAAGAAGACAAGGGGAGATCACTATACACAGCATGAAGGCAAGGGGAGATTACTGTAGTCAGCAAGAAGACAAGGGGAGATCACTATACTCAGCATGAAGGCATGGGGAGATTACTGTACTCAGCAAGAAGACAAGAGGAGATCACTATACACTGCAAGGACAGAGTGATGACTGAACTAAGACTCACCCTAGGACCATGTCCATGTCAACATCATCATCCAGTCCTCGCAACAATGTCTGAATGATGTCATCCCCCTTGTCCTTGTGGTTGGAGTTGGATGCTGACTTAGATTTGGATTCATCATTACACGAATCACCTGTCGATGTATCACAGGTGTCACACTCAACTACATAAGATAAATCATCACATGATCATGCTGATAAGGGCACAAATTTTGTGTACATAATGGGAACATGCTATGACATGAACAGTTATCATTTACTTTTGTACAAGCTTTATCAATTTAGGTTGTGAATACTATAGAGCCCTTTTTGCCAATCAAGCAAATGTTTGACATCATACCACTGACACATGTCTCCCAGTTCACACACTGACGACTGATTCCTCATTTTCATCAACTCTTAATGCAAACATAAGGTATGAGGGATCTCTATGACCCTCAATGAACATGTGGAAAAATCAATCAGAGGCACTACAGCTAGGTGATCATTATCTATGGATGGCACTTACCCATCACAAGCATGGCCTTCAGTACGGCCATGACAGGACCGATGGTGATGCTGTCATGAGAGGCCTCCAGTAGATGCCGGTCACATGATGCCTTGATCATAGGCGGGTTACGTATCCCGCCCCCGTAGGTGGGCTGAGGCAGGACTAGATCGTGGGTCTTGAACAGCCTCAGGAGAAGGTGACAGGTGAGTCGTGCTCCTGGCTCTGCATCCTGATCCCCGCCAGCTGTAAGGGAAATCCAGTCAGAGCTGTAGCTGTCATTGTGTCTGATGTTACTGGGGTCTGATGTCATGTCACCAGTGTCTAATGTCATGTTACTGGTCATGTCATTTCACCGGTGTCTGATGTCATTTCACCAGTGTCTGATGTCATTTCACCAATCTAATGGCATGTCACCAGTGTCTGATGTCATGTCACCATTGTCTTATGTCATGTTACTGGTCATGTCATGTCACCGGTGTCTGATGTCATGTCACCAGTGTCTAATGTCATGTTACTGGTCATGTCATTTCACCAGTGTCTGATGTCATTTCACCAATCTAATGGCATGTCACCAGTGTCTGATGTCATGTCACCATTGTCTAATGTCATGTCACCAGTGTCTAATGTCATGTCAACCGTGTCTAATATCATGAAACTGGTGTCTGATGTCAGGTCACTAGTGTCTGATGTGATGTCACCAGTGTCTGATGTGATGTCACCAGTGTGTGATGTGATGTCACCAGTCTGATGTCATGTCCCAAGTGTCTAATGTCATGTCCCCAGTGTCTAATGTCATGTCACCCATGTCTAATATCATGAAACTGGTGTCTGATGTCAGGTCACCCGTGTCTAATGTCATGTCACTGGTGTGTGATGTCACGCCATTGGTGTCTGATGTGATGTCACCAGTGTCTTAATGTCATGTTCCTGGTGTCTGATGTCATATCACTGGTGTCTGATGACATGTCATTGGTGTTTGCAGTCATGTCATGTTGCTTGTGTCTGATGTCATGTCACTGGTGTCTGATGCTATGACAATGGTGTCTGGTATAATGCCTCTGGTGTTTTATGTCATATCACTGGTGTCAGATTTCATGTCATTGGTGTCTGATGTCATGTCATTGGTGACTGATGTCATGTCCCCAGTGTTGGATGTCATGTGACTGGTGTCTGATGTCATGTCATGTCATGAGGCTAATGTCATGTGACTGGTGTCTGATGTCACATCACCAGTGTCTGATGTAATGTGAATGGTGCCTGATGTCATGTGTCTGATGTCATGTCATTGGTGTCTGATTTCATGGGACTAGTGTCTGATGTCATGGGACTGGTGTCTGCTGTCATGGGACTGGTGTCTGATGTTATGTCACCAGTGTCTAATGTCATGTCATTGGTGTGTGATGTCATGTCATTGGTGTGTGATGTCATGTCATGTTGCTGGTGTCTGATGCCATGTCATTGGTGTCTGATGTCATGTCACTGGTGTCTGATATCATGTCACTGGTGTCTGATATCATGTTACTGGTGTCTGATGTCATTGGTGTCTGAAGTGATTACGTGGCTAATCTCATGTCACTGTTGTCTGATGCCATGTCATGTCACTGGTGTCTGATGTCATGTTACTAATGTCACCGTGGGAAATCTTACTGAAGATAGTTACAAGTATTTTAAACATAAATTGAATGTCTACCTGCTTAAGTCAAACAGTACGAATTTAAATGTGAACCAAAGAATTTATAGACCTACTTCATTATGCCTGCAAAATTACCAAAACAAATCATGACACAATACATGGAATTGATTCTGCTACCAAGAGAACCAAACTGGTCCAGTAGAGAGATCTAGGTTAACGAGGGCCTTATCTTCCTTCAGCTGGTGGGTCATTCATTACCTGAAGGGCAGGCAGCAAGGAGGGAAGGCAGTGCAACATGTATCACCAGGTCTTGCAGGGAGAAACACTGGCGGGCAATCAGGATAGCAGTGAACACGGCCAGGGAGTCATGTATCGACAGGTCACTCACCTACAACAGACAACAATATACTGGAGGATCACAATACAGACTAACTTACATCTACCATAGTAAAGTGGTACTTGGAGCCAAACTTACTAAATGTGCATGAGAAAATGTGCAATGAGAACCTGGTTCTTGGATTTGGAGCTTCACTCCCTAGTGACAGCCTGACAGAAACAACAACTTCAGGTTGTTCAGATGGCTTTTATTTCAGTTACAATGACAAACAGGTACTTCAGAGAAATGTTCAGTAAGCAGGCTTTTATCTGGGAGCGCAGTGACCTCTGACCTGTCTAGTTTTGTCCCACAAAACGTCTTCCTGACTTCGGTCTTTGCTTATCTTATAACCCCCCAAACATCTATGGAGCTCCTGAGTTCATTGTGTACGTACATCTATTTGAGCGAGGACATCTATGAAGGTTCTGAGGTCGTCCTCTACTTACATCTATTTGAGGGAGGACATCTATGAAGGTCCTGAGGTCGTCCTGTACTTACATCTATTTGTGTGAGGACATCTATGAAGGTCCTGAGGTCGTCCTCTACTTACATCTATTTGTGTGAGGACATCTATGAAGGTCCTGAGGTCGTCCTGTACTTACATCTATTTGATGGATGACATCTATGAAGGTCCTGAGGTCGTCCTGTACTTACATCTATTTGTGTGAGGACATCTATGAAGGTCCTGAGGTCGTCCTCTACTTACATCTATTTGTGTGAGGACATCTATGAAGGTCCTGAGGTCGTCCTGTACTTACATCTATTTGTGTGAGGACATCTATGAATCCACTACTGTGCATGGATGAACAACAGAGAGCCTTGAGAACTCCCAGCCACTCCGAGCTGAGGGGATTACACCGAGCTGTCAGCTCCGCACACAACAACGAGATCTCATTCAACCTGGAAACACAGTGAATATACAACTTAAACAGGTTTGATTACGACTGGCGGGTAGGATCACAGTGGAGTCGGACTAGCTGCATAGGAGGTAAAGGAGGCTGAGAAACATTAACTTCTATTTATTCGTTGATCCTACACTAACTGGGGGCAGGTTGAAGGACTCACCTCTCTGGGACCTGTGAGTTACAGATGTTGAGGGTGGCATTGCAGACGAAGCTGTATCTGTTGGGGGGATTCTCACTCAGCTGCTTCACCACCTGTGGGTCTGGCTGCGACCTGAAAACACACACGCCTTTAGACCCTGGGCCTGTAAAACCTACAGAAAAACACCCATACCTTCAAAAATATATACTATGTTCCTCCACATACTCCAAATGTTCCAAACACAGTTTCATAAATTAAAGCTTAACTTACAGTTTGTTTGCTGTCTGATGCTGAATCTGCAAAATTCCAGCCACATAACAGAGACCTGTAAATATCTGGTCTGGGAAACCAGCAATCCCATCAATGGTACTGTCTTCAAGTAAACAGCCAATCAGTACATAATACAGCCTACACCCTTTTACAAATCTGCATGCATTGATGAGCCTGTGCACTGACACTATGATGTTCAGATGTGTAGAGTATCTAGCAGTGTATGAAATAAGGCCCGTCCGACCACCCGAGACAGGCTAGATTTCTGACGGACGGTCTAAATTTACAGCTAGCCAGCCAGATGGTCTGGTAAATTTTTTTTTTTTAGATATTCCATACATCTGAGTAAATTCACCATATCTTGGTGTCTGGTCTAGTTAATGTAATTTTTAGACTAAAATAGATATTTTATACTTATCCTGACTCATGATAAATGCTTGTCTCCTTCTCCTTGCGAATGATAGTGGAACACTTGAAATCCCTTGAAGTTCCCTTCTAAAATGCAGACGTAAACTCACTACTCACCCAAGAGTTACCTCCCTTGCCCCTTTGGCGCCCTTACGGTCACCCGACCGACCATGCCTTGTCACTCTCTTCCGTATGTATGCCCGACACACGGATTTACAGGGAAATCCAGAGTGCCATAAGAGGGTAGGTTGGGAGGGCTGACCTCATGAGTCAGGATAAGTATAAAATATCAATTTTAGTTAGAAAATTACATATTTTTCCTTATCCTGACTCATGCTAAATGCTTGCAGAATCCGTCGGAATCGGTGGTGGGTCAGGCCACTTCTGGATTCTCTGGCTGTTGATTTACGTTCCCCATGGGAACTTATGACGGCACTGCTGATGATTCTGTTCTTTCACCTTCCTCTGATGAGTCTGGGGGGAACCACAACTTCCGAAACTTCTCCTGACATTTTCGTGTGGATTTTTAGATATACTAATGTTCCATTAGTTATCTATTGCAACTCCATCTCTTGATGCACGCATCAAGTGGAGATGCGACCCTTCTTCATGTAGGAGTATGTCCTATACAAGTACAGGGTCTATCACTCATGCTAGCCTGTCCTAGACATGTGCATGGACTTAAACCATTTGCTCTCCAGAGCATTGGTTTTCACAAGTCACGTGATAAAAAGGGTGAGATTTTTTCTCAGCGCCTTTGTGGAACCGTTAGTGGCCCAAACTTGAATGCCTGAGACGTCTTCGGTGGCAATGTCTCTGAGGTAGTGGTTGGCTAACACTGTGTCCGATTTCCAAAAGCAGCCCTCCATTATTGTCGAATCGAGCAGTTTCCATGCAGAGCAAGTGTAGACGCCAGGGCTCTGACTTTGTGGGGATTGGAGGCTCGTGGAGGCTCAAGTCCTGCTGCTTTGCAGGCCCTTAGTATAACGGCTCTCATCCATGTCCGTGAGACTTCCGTGGGCGTCTCAGTAGATAAGGGGATGAATAGGCGCTTGAATTTTCGTCTCCTTGTTTTTGTCCTTTGTAGGTAGACTTTTAGTGCTCTGACAGGGCATAAGGATAGATCCTGTGTATCCTGTGGCCCAAGGACTGTAGAGAGTGCTGGGATGTGGAACTGTCTGTCAGGCTGACCGGGCAGATGGTTCTTTGCAATAAAATCCCATCTCAGTCCTAGATGTACGATGTCACGATGTCTTGAGTCAAATCGTGTTCGTTCAAAGTCCAGAGCATGTATTTCTGACATCCGTGCTGCTGTTGCTAGGGCGATCAAGAACAGCGTTTTCCGAATCAGTAGTTCAAAGGATGTCCGTTCTAGAGGCTCGTAGGCATCACTGGTGAGATGTTGTAGAACTATGTTGAGATCCCAGGCAGGAGCCTTGAATTTTCTTTTCTTCATGGTGATTACTGTGCTGGGCACAGCCAGGTACGTTGAGAGTTTTCGTTTGGTGAAGTCCTTTTGGTTGTTGGTCAAATTTGGAGGAGATTTACTAGCCATCCTAACTGAGCGAGAAGCCTGATGGTGAAGTCTAGTTGCAGTCTGAGTTGACTGGGATCTTGATGAACTTGAATTCCGTCGTCCAGGTAAAAAGCACTGCGTAGACCTCGGCGATGTAGATATGTGACGATGGGCTTGGTCACTCGAGTAAACAACCAGGGGGCCGACGATATTCCAAATGGTAGAACCTTCCACTGGAAGTGATGTCCGTTGAAAAGGAATCTTAGGTATTTCCTTGAGTCTGGATGTATCGGGATGTGTAGGTACGCATCTTGTAGATCTATGCTGGCGAGGTAGTCTGATGGATCGAACGAGATGTCGGAGCTGAGGAAGATGTATCATCTTGAATTTTGCTGGTCTGCGGAGATACTCCTGGTTGAACTTCCTCATGTTGTAGATGAGCCGAAACTTCTCCTTGGAATTCTTCTTCGGTACCAGGAAAATTGGGGAGTAAAACCGGCATGATGAGATCTTGATTTATCTCTTCTACTGCATCTTTGTCGAGTAGAGTCTTGATTGCGTCGTCCAGTTTCTCTGTCTGGTCGGCTGCGTATCTGAGGGCCATTGGGTTGCTTGTAAGCGGCGGGGTGGCTTCCAACTGTATCTTGTACCCTCTGCATAGTATCTGGGATACGTAGTCGCCCTGTAGTATTCCCCAATTCTCCCAGTACCGTTGAAGATGTCCACCCACTGTCGAAGGTTGTATGGGAACGGCTGGGGGTGGAAGACTCCAGTCATTCCAAACCTGTCTTTCAGCGCTTGGTTCCCCTGGCACCCCTGGGTGCTCGGCCTCTTTCGGGGTGTTTTCTCGGGGCTCCGGTTGGGCAGGGAAAGGACCTCTTCCTCCTCTTGAGCTGGAATACTTCTTTTCTCTGGCTCTCTGGACTCCTGCAAACATGGATTTGTTGGAGTAGCGCTGAGACGTCTGGCAAATCACATTTGCCATCTATGGACTTTATCATCATGACCTCCCTTGATTCATGTGTAACCTCTTTAGCGACTTCTTCAATCCCTCCTCCGAAGATGGATGATGCTGACCATGGGGCTCTGTATAAGGACTTGGTGAACCGCTCACTCCAGGTGCACGATGACAATAATCCTTGTCTCCTCAGGAGAGTCAGGCCCGCTGATGTGGATGCTAGATGCTCCGACATAAACTGGTGGTCCTTTTCTGAGTCAGTAGCGCAGAATATATCATCCGGTCCTCTTCGATTGGTGGAGTTCTTGAACTTCGAGATAATTGTTTCGTTGATAGCCCTAGATCTTGCTAGTCTGAAGAAGGTACGTCTAGTAGTCGTATCCAGTTGTGCTTAGCGTTGTCCTCTATCTTGTAAGTTCTATAGCGGGAGTCGTTGATGATCTTGTAGTCCTCATCAATCTCTGGTGCCTTCAGGAAGGGTTCCATGTGATGTAAGGGGAATTTCCTGGCGTGGAACGTCGGGATATGCTGATTCTGGAACTTGGTAGCCTTATCAAAGGCTGAGCTGAGACTGTCCCATACTTGGGAGATCGGGTCGATAGGTGGAAAGGTGAGTGTGTTGAAATCATCGTTGGACATCTCTATGTAAACGCTTCGTCTGTGTCCTTGGAAGGTGATGCTAGGTCCAGGCCATTAGCAATCCATGAGGTTACTTCCGTATCGGAGAATATGACTTCACCTTCCTCCTCTGATTTAGACATCTCCCACTCTGACGATCCACGACGACGTGAGTCTCTGTGTGAAGATCTGTATGAAGAACTGCGCGTAGGTGAACAATCCCGATGTGATCGTGTATCCTTCCTGGAGTCTTGAGATGTTTCTCTAGGCCTTCGTGAAGGTTGATTCTTAGACGTAGTCTCCCCTCTGTAAGATGTGGAGTGCTTGCGTGCAGGTTCCCGATGTGCGTCTGAGTCCGATGGTGATGACGACCCGTATCTACGACATCTGTAGGGTTCGGGAGAACGCTTCATTCTGCTTCTACGTGGAGAATTCTTAGCGGTTTCTTCAGGGACGTCTAAGACTGAGCTGACGTTGGTAGCGTTGTCCAGGCTCCTAACTTCAGATGAGGAAGATCGTCGGGTGCGTGAGCCTTCACGCAGGCTTCCCCTCTTCTTCCAAGTGCGTTGGAGAGACTGCTGAATCTTCACGCAGGCTATTAGTCATTGTAGTGGTCTTCACAGCAGGTTTCTCCTGCGCGAAGCGACGTTCCATCATCGACATTATCTGCCTCTGTAAACTGTTGCATGAACAGTCCCGGTTGAAGTTCTGCGATGTCTGAAGAGACTGCTGCAGGGATGATGATGCTTCTGACAACGATGAGGCGTCTTCTAAGGTACACTGCACTTGTGAAGAGTTGACGCTGCTGTTGTCTCTGGTAGCCGATGTCTGCATTGATAGAAGGTCTTCTGTCAATGTCTGCGCTGATAAAGTTGCCGATGTAGCTGTAGAAGCAGGCTTCGTCTTCTTGCTGACGACTGTGACTTCAGGTATGAGGATGGGGGGATCATCATACACGTCTGCTTCTTCAGCAGAGAAGGATCTCGTCATCTGTGTAGAGCTGTGTAGAGACTTCGACGAAGTCTTAGGGGTAGTAGCCTTCTTCTTCTGCATTGAAGATCTAGTCTTCTTCCTCTGCGAAGAGGTCAGCTCCGTTGACGATGATCTCTTATTAGGTTCAAGGTTCATCACTGGCACAGCGACCTGCCCCCGTAAAACGCTCGGCAATTCACTGGAATTATGAACATCGGCAGCAGTAGTGAACACACGTAGTGAACATAAGCGCAATCACTTGATTTAGACATGACTTGTGAATACCTTCTTACCCAGTCCTTTGCACGTCTATGAATGGAAAAAAGGTAGTTCTTAAATTCAAAAGTGGTTAAATCCAGACAATGTTTACAGCGAGAGCTGAAAGAACATGAAGTAGTGCAATCAGGACATAATAAATGTGGGTCAGCCGCAGACAGTGGGTACCTACAACGAACACAAGTTTTAATCAAATGTAAACACGATGAAAAAACATGTCAAACAACGTATAATTTAGATCAAATTTCAAACCATATAGTAGAATCCAATCCGTAAAAGCCGTATACAGCAATAATTTTGATGTAAGGTCCAAAATAGGAAAGGATATGTGCTGTATAGGGACCCAGGTGCTCTCACAACCGTCCTCAAGGGCGAAGAAAGAGAGAGTGACAAGGCATGGTCGGTCAGGTGAACAAAAGGGCACCAAGGGGGCAAGGGAGGTAACTCCTGGGTGAGTAGTGATTTTACGTCCGCTTTTTAGAAGGGAACTTCTAGGGATTTAAAGTTTACCACTATCATTCACAAGGAGAAAGAGACAAGCATTTATCATGAGTCAGGATAAGGAAAAATAAGCCCTGATGTCGGCTGGGTTTTTGGCTTATTTCATACACAGTATCTAGACCTCTCCCTCCTCCCGACTTACTTTCCTGTACTGATGAGCTCTATCATGAAGGCAGGGTCCCAGCGCAAGTTGGAGGCTGATGGAGTCACAGACACGTGGATTGTCTGCTTCACTTGGGAGTGAGCAGAACTAAACATCTCAGAGAACCGAGACTGAAAGCAGACAAATCCTCATGTTGGCAGTTTTCAGGTCAAATATTTCAGTTGGCAAATATCGCATCCTGAAGTTTCAAATCAACATACCTTATTCTATCTTTATTTCAATAAGTGGAATATTAGGGTCAGGGTACGCAAATTATGTAACAGAAAACTAAACTTAATTAGATCTGTAGTAAATATGTCAATATAAGTTACATCCCAGATACTTGTGTGAGTAATGTGAGCATACCTTCAGGAAAGCACAAGCAGAGTAGACATCACAGAGGTAGGAGATGATACAACGCTTGGCGGACATACACTCCCCAGGGTTACTAGACTCCACCGTCTTCCACAGCAGGAACAGACTGAAACACAACCACCAGTCTTATATACCATGGTCGATAGATTCTGTTTCACACAACAAACTGAGCTTCGTTCAAAGTATAGGAGCTGCAACAGTCCAACAGTCCTTGCCTAAACTGGGATCCTGGGAACTCTCCGATGTTCACGCTGACTTATGGACTGGGTCCACTTTGTTCTCCAAGCCTAGTTCATTCACACAGTAAGGTGTGGTCTCACTTGTGAAAATAATAACAATTGTTTCTCAATGAATCACTCAGGCCATCAGGAGTTCCAAACTGACACATAATATCTGACAATACTAAAATGATCTGAATTAATGTAATTTTCTGAATAAAATTGATATTTTATACTTATCCTGACTCATGCTTAATGCTTGTCTCCTTCCTCTTGCGAACGTTAGTGGAACACCTGTATCTCCTATTGAAGCTCCCTTCAACTTAAATTCACTCCTCCCAAGAGTTATCTCCCCTGCTGTTTAGGCGGGAAACTGTGGCGCCACCGTCCCCACATGCCTCAATCTCTCCTGAATATGAGCCCGACACTTGAATTTGCAGGGAAATCCAAAGTGTCTAGTGGGGAGGCTGGGTGGGCTTACCTCATGAGTCAGGATAAGTATAAAATATCAATTTTATTCAGAAAATTACATATTTTTCCTTATCCTGACTCATGCTTAATGCTTTGTAGAATCCGACAGAGAAAGTGCGCGGGCAAGCTACTTTGGATTTCATGTAGTGATTTCGTCTCTATACCCCCTATGGGAACCGTGTTGGCACTGTCTGCTGTTGCTCGACCCTGTCCTTCCAGCTGCCTTTAGATGGGGGGACCACAATAGTTAACTTTTGGTCCTTTCTTCTGTTAACATTTTATGTGCATTTTGCGACTCCATCTCTTGATGCAAGCACCAAGTGGAGAAGCGACCCTTCCTGTACAAGTATCCTTACAAGTACTGGGTCATATTGCTTATGCTAGTCTGTCCTAGACGTGCATATAGACTTAAAGCAAAACTCTACAGAGTGTAGGCTTTGTAAGTCATGAGATAAAAGGGGGCGAGACTCTGTCTCAGCGCCTTATGGGACTGTCAATTGTTGTGCTACAACAAGTGAGCCGAAATGGTGAATGTCAGAGCCGTCCTCAGTGGCGACGTCCCTTTCAGGTAGTGGTTGGCAAACATACTGTCCCATTTCCAGAAGCAGCCCTCCATTATCGTACTGATAGAGCGATTCCCATGTAGAGCGAGCGTTGACGTCAGAGCTCTAATTGCATGTGGGTTGGAGACTCTTGGAGGATCAAGTCCTGCTGCTTTGTAGGCCCGTAGTATGACAGTTCTGATCCAGCTTGAAATCTTAGTGTGGCAGACCTTCGTCTGTGTCGCTGTCTAGATCGAGATGGAAAGACACTTGAATTTCCGTCACCTGGACCTGGATCTTTGTTGGTAGACTGTGGTCCAAGGACTGATGATAGTGTTGGGACGTGGAACTGTCTCGATGACCTGACAGTTGATTCTTTGCTATGAAGTCCCATCTCAGTCCCATATGCACGATGTTATGATTATCATCAAATCGTGTTCTCTCGAGGTTCAGAGCATGGATTTCCGACATGCTTGCTGCTGTTGCTAAGGTTATCAGGAACAGCGTCTTCTGCGTCAAGACCTCGAATGATGTTCTCTGTAATGGTTCGTAGATCTCACTAGTGAGATGTCGTAGAATTACGTTGAGGTCCCACGCCGGAGCTTTAAATCTCTGATGTTGGTCCTCCAATTAAAAGGGTGTAGTAAGGCCAGTAACTCTGGTACTTTAGTCAGTTGCACTCGTCCTCATGGTGATAACTGAGAACAATGCCGCTAGGTATGTTGAGAGCGTTGACCCTTTTAACCGCTTCCTTTGTCTAGGTGACAAAGGTAGTCCGCCACTTGAGGATGTGTCACTATCATGGTAGTGAAGTCGATCCTCGAAATGTATCATTTGTCTCAAAGCGTCACTACTTGTTGTCAGACAAGTTTGCTTGAAGACTTGCGTAAAGCTAGTGTCACTGCTTTCGCTGCCCTGGCGAAATATCCTCTCTTTGTTCAAGCATGCCTTGATACAGTCCATACGTGTAGCCAGAACACCTCTGGGTTGCCGTGTGCCTGCTTTGTGTGAGGATGTATTGGTAAATTCGTCCACTCTGGTAGTTGCAGTTGAGGCAGTCCTAGGTCTTGTATGAGAATAGGGGACCATATTCTTGCTGGCCAAAAAGACGTGCCCCAAGTAGTTGTGGGTCTCTCGCCTGACTGATTTCTGCAATACCCTTGGTATTAGAGCTGGTGGAGCAAATGCGTAAGCGTTTAGTCCTAGCCAGGAGATGCTTAGCGTGTCTGTTGCCCAGGCCCGTGGATCTGGTATTGGTGAGATGAATGTTATCAGTTGACCCTTGTGGCAAAGAGGTCTATTAATGGTGCTACCATCTCTTGTATGATCTGCTTGAAGATCTCTGAATGTAGCATCCAGTCTGTTGAGAATGGCTGCGTTGGACAAGATAGTGCATCTGCTATCACATTCTTGGTCTTGGAATGTGGCATACTCTGATGTGGACATTCAGGTTGACTGTTATGCTGACCAGTTGAAAGCAGAGGTCCAGAAGGTTCGCCGACTTTGTTGATCCTTCTGTAGATGTAGACCGTCACTGTGGAGGTGATTGTATGTACCGTCAGATGAGCATTCTTCAAAATGCTGATCCAGTGGAGTATGTCGTTTATCACTGCTTTCATTTCCAGCATGTGGAAGTGTAGATCTACACTGCTATGGTCCATATCCCAGCTGACACATTGTTGTCGAGGTGTGCTCCCCAATCATGGAGAGATGCGTCCACATAGAGATGCGTCTTGTACTCCCGCTCTGATAAATAGGTGCGTCTGCGACCCTCCTATCTCTGAGTCCACCATATTAAATATGGATTTAATCTGTCCGAGAGTCCGAAGGGGTCCGGATCGTCCAGTTGTACATTCACGAAAATCTGTAGTGGGCGTAGTTGTAGACTCCCTTTGCGTGTCATGTCTTGTGCTGACGTGAAAAGAAACAACAGACTCAGCCACTTCGTAGTAAGAATGGAGAAAGGAGTGCCGCCACCTTAGTCAGGCCAACGTATGTTGCTGCAAGTCGTCTGAAGAATCGTCTTCAATGATGACAGGGGAGGTCTATAACCCCATGAAGGCAGCCAAATCACGTAGGTCCCATCTAACTGGACTGTAATGGAGGCGTTCCTTGCTCGCTGACATGCTGTTGTCACTTGTAACCCATTTCTTGACCTGTGAACTACGTCCGACCTCTGCGCAGGGCGTTGTCTCTCGTGGTCCAATCAAAATAAAGCATTTTGATTCCTTAGGCTAGCCGCACTGTGACGTCATCGGTGTAGCAGGAAAAAGGTCCTTGTAGAATCTAGTCCCGCCGTTGATATCTGATCAATTGTCGGTCTTGTCCGTAGCCTTCCGAAGTTACACGAGTGACCACGTGTATCGAGGGTTGAATGGTAAACGCGTGAAATATTTCGTCGCGTAATAGTGATGTGTGTAGGCTGTTTTCCTGGTTGCTGTGACTTTTACTTCAGTCTTGAAGATAATGCTGTCGCCCTTTATACAGAGGATCAACTGAAATCTTCACGTCAGCTTGTAGACTGCATACATCAATGAAGCGTCCTAATTGTAAAATAATGCTGAACTTGTTGTAAATTCTGCTCAGGGAATCGTTGACGAGTATGTATTTTCCTAGCCGTAGCAAGGCTGCTGTTGAACCCCGCCAGTGAGAATATCTGCAGATCTGTACGAAAGTGAAGATCTCTATATGGCCATACGTCTTCTCATGTAGATATATCAATCTATGTGAATATTGGATTCCGTCTGAAGATCTGTGCCGGTGATGAATTCGGACAAGAGTACCCCTCTTGAACTGTATTACATGTTCTTCAGTCTGTGTACCGACGACGATCTTTGCCTTCTAGGATGACGTTACCTCGAGTCCTGGTTGAATAACCTTGAAGATCTGCGTAGCGATCTGTGTTGTGGTCGGCATGGTGTGACTGTATGGCGCCTTGCGTGTAGGTAATCATCTCGTAGTTCGGGATTGCCTACCTGGCAATACATTCCGAAATGGTGATTCCCGTGATGATCTGCTAGGCGTCGTTGATGCCCTAGTCGGTCTGAAGATCCTTTATTAGGTTCTTCATCTGTTGACAGTCTCTGAAGATACCGCCGTCCTTCGCGCAAGTTGTAGATGACATGTAGCGTTCTGTTAAGAAGCTAAATACTGCGATGTATATGGCCTGTGCGAATGCCTTCGCGCAGGCTCGGTGATGGTATGTAGCGTTCTGTTGAGAATCTCAGTACTGCGGCGTCTCTGCGTTGTAGATGGCCTGCGCGAATGCCTTCGCGAACGCTGATCAGCTGATTCCGCATCTGGGGAAATGGCGACTAGTCCTTCGCGAATGCCTTCACGAACGCTGATTGTCCGATTCTGTATCCAGGGATGGGTGATTCCTCCTTCGCGAATGCCTTCGCGAACGCTGAATATCTGATTCCGCATCTGGTGAATGACGACTGGTCCTTCGCGAACGCCTTCGTGAACGCTGACGTCCGATCCGGGGATGGGTGATTTCTCCTTCCCGAATGCCTTCGCGAACGCTGAACATCTGATTCTGCATCTGGGGAATGGCGACTGGTCCTTCGCGAACGCTCATCGTCTGATGTTGTCTCCAGGGATGGACGATTCCTCCTTCGCGAATGCTGAGCGTCCGATGAACGTCCAAGTCCGCCGTAGGGGATGGTTGAGTCGACCTTCGCGCAAGCTGGTCCGGGAGTGTAGTTCTGCTGGCAGACATCACATTGATGGAGGGTCCCTCAAAGCTGACGTCTGCGTTGGAGCCTTCACGAAGGCTCGGGACCTGAGCTGGCTGTGAATTCTTTTCCAGGCCGTAATGCTGCTCCATCATCTCCATGACTGCATGAAGTCGCCTGGGTTAAAGGTCTGCGGTGGAACTGGCGCTGCCCTTTCTGCGGTGATAGCGATGGGGCCCACTGGACGGTCATCTGTTGTCAACGATGATACCTCGGGTTGAGGAGAGATCTGCGCTGACATCACCGTAGCTGAGACCGGTCGTTGCTTGGGATGAACCTCTGGGATGCTTATCGGTTGATCATCGTAGAGTCCCTGTTCCGTCATCGGGACAATCTCGGTAGAGAAAGTCCTTGTAGTCTGCGCAGACGTCCCCGTAGAGTTGGTCGGCATCTGAGGGGTGTGTAGCCTTCTCTGGGTAGAGGATGGCTTCTAATCAACGTCTGCGAAGATTGTAGATCTGCCCCTCTCTGCGTTGATAGCGATATGGTCCAGGGATCGCTCATCTGTCGCCCTCGGACTGCGTGCTGTATGTCTGGGATGATCAGCAGCAGCTCATCATGAAGTCATCTCACTTCCATCGGGACGATGTCTGTGAGGCTTCATACTGTGTAGAGGATGGCTTCTTCTTCTACGTCTGCATTGAGGAGTTGTCCGAAGTAGATTCGAAGTAAAGGCGGACAACATCCCACGCCCATCCTCCGGCAGGTCACTTGATGGTAGAAAATCGTCTAACAGCAGTAGACAGCTCGTGAGGGACTCAGCCAGTTATCCATGACTTGGTCAGTCACCTGGATTTGTCGGTAGTACGTCTAAGTACAGAGAAAAAATATTTATTAATTTGAATTTCTCTTAAATGCTGAAAAACATTACAGCTATAGCTGGAAGTACATGTTGTTGTGCAGCTAAGGCACAGTCAATGCGGGTTTAGCAGCAGCGAACCTAAACCTACAACGAAAATAGGTTATCATGAAATGTAAACAACTGAACAAACACGGACAATTCCGAGAATAAACAGTGTTAAATACAATTAAATATCAAACGATATTGTTGAAGGATGCTAACTAAACCTCTATAAAAGTAGAATAGAGGAGAATAATTAAGTAATTAAAGGATATAGTGCCGTGAGAGTGCGCTCTCACAACTTGCCCACAGGGCGAAGAAGGAGAGAGTGAGGCATGTGGGGACGGGGGCGCCACAGTTTCCCGCCTAATCAACAGGGGAGATAACTCTTGGGAGGAGTGAATTTACGTCTGTTCTTTATTGAAGGGAGCTTCAATAGGAGATACAGGTGTTCCACTAACATTTGCAAGAGGAAGGAGACAAGCATTAAGCATGAGTCAGGATAAGGAAAAATAAATGTTTTTATAAACATCACTGAAGACATATGACCATCACAAGGAAAACACAGACACATGGCTCCAAATTAACAATCCTTAAGACTAGTAGCTTGGCAATACTGACTGTGAAACCTCCCCTACAGGATTATGCTTTTGCTTTCTGTCAAAATGAGAAGATTGACACTCAGTTGAAAAACATTCAAGTTTATGTACTAGGCACACCTAACCAATGTTTTGGTTTTTTTAATGGCTTAAGGTGACTGTAAGAGTGTTTCAACTCACTACTCAAATGCTTGTGATGTGAGATCCTGAGACACCAAGAGGTAGGTGTGATACTGCCTGAGAACGCTGACTATACACAACCCCAGCGACGTGGTAAATGTCCCCGCCAATGAGGACTTGTTCTTTCTCAGCTGCAACTCCACCTCCGTCATCTCCTTCAACATCTGCAACAGCATGACACATGAAAAATAGCACCACACATAAATAAACAGTAAGGAACATTAATCATTGTCATAAAAATGAGATAGTGAAATATTCTTTTAAAAAAGGGTTGAGGGGCTGACAGATACACAGTAATAATATGAAAGATTGGGTGCTCCGTAACATATAGTAGTATATCTAGTGTCTTGCCCAAATTCACCAATAGAGATTACCTGCTCACAATATTCATTTGATTTATTATTGGTATATACAAAATGCACCTACTTGGCAAATAAACTCAATGAGACCATTGATATTCAGGGAGTATTCCATCAGGTCAAATAAATAGGAGATATTGTCCACCAAGGGGAGATAACTGGAGCTGCCAGACACAAAGCTGTTGATCTGCTCTATGACAGCAGCACAGCACTGTTCTGTGACAGAGTGCTGGTCGTAGTACGACAGCTTCTGGAACTTCTGGAAGATGCCCTCATAGTTTGGCAGCACCACAGACACAGACGCAGCAGCAGTTGCCTCCCCTTCCTTCTCTTTCTTCTTCTTCACCTGAAAATTCGACAGATTAAACATCTCATCTCGTTTTTCGGTAAACATATAACACATGGATGTACAGCAACAGCCTCACTGACATATTCCATCTGAATACCAAGACACTTATGGTACTTCGAGCTAACAGTCTTAACATTATGGATTATTGTAAAAATCAGAAAACATCGATGAAAACAGGTCATTTATATGTCTATGCAGCAGTATAAACATGGAAATGATCAACAGAAAAACAAAGTTAACCAGGAAACTTATACATCTGTTATTTGAACAACATATGCTGTCTAGTGTATACATTACGGTTTTCTTAAACACATATATGGCTGAGATGATTTGTTACTGTTTTGTAAATATTTTAGTGACATCTTTTAATTTGTCTAGTTTCTGTCTCAGAGTGCCTGTACAAGCTATATCATGTAAGCAGTATACAGAAAGTAACAATAGATTTACCCCAGTGCTTATGTAACTTATGTAACTACTAACTTTACAATAGCCACTTTCACTCTATTGACAAGCTTATTGCATTGTCTGCCCTTATTATGTAAGTCCGCTTGCCTACAGTTCAGCTTTGTCTCATCAAGCAGTTGGTCAGGTACTACCTTTACAAGTCGGTTGTCACTGACAATTTGCTCAGCAAACCGTTTGGCATTTCCTTGGGACCAAGTGTCTGAGGATTTCTCTCTATATTTATTGAAGGTTAGTTTGTGTTTTGGCTCATATTCATGTATTTATAGATATGTCTGTGTACATAGTTGTATATGATTGTAGATGCATTAAGGTAATGCATGTGTAGGAAAATGGGTTTTTGTTGGGAATAGAAGTTATTTTCTTTTCACATTATTGGGGTTGTAATATATATATATTTAGTGGGAAGTTTTACGTAGCAGTTTCCGGGAGTAAGTGATTTCTCCAGAGGTTGCTTGTAGTTAATGAAATTCCACTTTTTACCTTCGTTTGGCTGTAAAATTCCGTTGGAATTACTCCTTTCCCGGACAGTTGACAGTCACGGCATGCGCTACCATGCCGTGCTCGGATTGCCATGGCCCGGTGTGTATTCTGTTTGCATTCCGAGTGCGGTATGGTAGAGCTGTCGTGATTGGTCGGCTGACTCCATTCTTGGGCCAATGGGAGTTAGGCTACTTTTCCCGGGTCAAAGGTTAGCGCGCGGGGTATTTAAGGGCCTGTAACGCTCAGAGAAGTCGCTTGCTTCAGGACATCCTGACCGAACAGTAAGTCGGGAGGTCTTCCTCCTTTCCCTAGGTTTTATATAGTATTATTTTGCATGTAGAGTAGGAGAACATTTAGTGGGTTGGGGGAAACGATAGGATTAGAGTAGGCTTTGTATGTAGGAATTAATTAGTTAGGACTTTCTTTTTCTTTGGGTCTTATAGACTGCTAGTTGTGAGTGTGTGTGATGCTGGCTTCTATTTATTTTGTTAAGTTTGGCTTAGTTTGTTTTTATAAATTAATAAACTGTATTTATTTGGTGAAATCTGAACTTTGTTCTTATTTTGGGAAGAATCTTTTACAATGACTTGAACAACCATAGAACCTGAAATAAGGTCCATGAAAGGTTCCGCTCTCCAGGTACCAGATTAACATCTAATTAAAAATACACAACGCAAAGTCCACAACGGAGAGCGTTAAATAACAACATCGAACCTTGATATATGAACCTTACTGTCACTGGGTGACCTCCCTCAGCGGAGGCGCCTATTACACATGGATGAGATTTATTTATCTTTTCAACCTACAAAGGAACTTGCAAATTAGTATGAGCTAACTATAAATCACTGCTGAAGTATGTGTATCATCTAATTACATGTGTGAATACAGTATGTGTAGACTGATTACACATGGTAAGATTCCTGTACTGACTGACTGAGTTTGGTTTTACGCCGCTTTTAGCAATATTCCAGCAACATCACGGCGGGGGACACCAGAAATGGGTTTCACACATTGTACCCTTGTGGGGATTCGAACCCGGGTCTTCGGCGTGACGAGCCAATGCTTTAACCATTAGGATAGCCCACCGCCCCAAGATTCCTGTACATGTCCTTTAATCTTATTGCCATTATTTAAGCTTTGTAAGCTGCCAGCTCATTGCCAAACAGTGGTAAGTTAGGGGTAAGTTAGGGGTACATATTGTATATATTAACTTTATATCTTGGTGATTGGAAAGAGTTCCTTCCATTCCCCCAACCCTAAACCTAACTCTAAACCTAACCCTAACTTAAATTTTGGACTTTTAGCCATTTTGTGAGTTCAATAGTAATTGTTGTGTTAAGTTTTGTTAATAATTTTAGTATATTTATAAGTATTACTTGGGATGGGGGAACGGGAGGAACTCATACCGCCGGCTCACACCCCAGTAACTTGTTGTGTTTTCTGCAACCGAGTTGCTTGAGACAGATCATTGTCTGATTCGCTACACCTTGTCCACAATGGCAGTTCAACTACAGAAGAACTCACCAAGTTGATGCTACAGTAAACCACAAGGACTCACCTTGCCAAGGTCCCCACTGCTGACATCGATACAGTTCCTCTTGCTGTACAGCTTCACAACCTCCTTGGAGATTTTCTTGAGGACATGTCGGGCCTCATCACGGGGCTTGCCGACACCGTACAGGACGATGAGTCTTTGGTTGCACTCATGACTGGAATATTCATCTTGAGGAATGGGGAAGTGGGTGGCAAACAGCATATGCCGTGATGGACCCTTTGGGGCGGTGACTGTGGGCAGGGCATCACTGTGTTGGAGGGTGTGATCCTTCTCCGACTTGACCGATTTCACGGATGCTGGGAAGAGGATATGTCAAGAGTTAGTTACTGCATGCAGTGGAAACTACGACAACAATAATGCATGGTGTCATCCTCATCCTAGTATCTGTCAGGGTCTCTGTCAGGTCACAGCAACATAAGAAATAAATATAACAGGGCAAAAACACAGACCTGAAAGTCCAATAGATCGGGGTAGATACTTTTTTTTAAACATACTTTTTAACAATAAGTCAAAAAGACAAGATAGCTATCACCTTGCCAGGCCTTGTTCAAGAATTAGGTTCAATGACCTCACAACAGATAAATGCAAAACACATGAAAGCCTAATATATATACATTTACATGAATAATTGATCAGCTTCTTTTTAACAGTATGTAGGACACACTAATGTTATACAACTGAAGTTAACACTGACAATCTTTACTAAGATCTGCATCCACTGACCATATACATACACAGCCTGCTACACCACATCCACTCTCTCACTACATGGAGTGGTCAGTGTCGGACTACCCACCTGGGGGCTCTGGGCTGGACTTCTGTTCATCCTTAACGGACCCAAACAGACTGTTGAAGTCTGTGTCAACTAGGGCACCGATGTCCATGTCAACCTTGATGTCATCTTGATGCTGATTGAAACAAACAGTCTTATGATTGAAACAAACAGTCTTATGATTGAAACAAACAGTCTTATGATTGAAACAAACAGTCTTATGATTGAAACAAACAGTCTTATGATTGAAACAAACAGTCTTATGATTGAAAACAACTTTGAAAAGACTCACATAGGCAGTGCAGCACACGACAAGATGTACGGTATAAGTTGGGAAATCTTTAACTGGCAGAGAAATCTGATTTGATCAAGGTTAAAGGACAATAAGATCTTATGCAATATTCACTGAACTTTTGAAGCTGAAGTCCCCATTACCTCATGCTTGATGCTCTCGTTCTGACTCTTGATGCTGGGGAGGTCCACGCTGTCTGCAGAGGGCATCATGACAGCAGGGGAAGAAAGGAGGTCACCACGGGAGATCAGAGTACACATGTAGGCATCGTGGGAAAACACATCATGGCGAATCAGCTCAGAGAACAGGTGAATCAGGTTCCGGAATGCTTGCTTGTTTTCTTCTGTTGGATTTTCATCTAAACAGTAACAGTCAGGTAATGGAACTGGCAATATTGCTGCAACCCCCACTGAGCCAAGAAGTAATTGTGCCTGATCAATGATTTCCAATAAAGGTTATATTGACAGGTTATGCAGAGTTGGTCTATGCTTGTGATGACTTAATGTTGTTTTACACCAGGTTGCATTATTTACATTAATATTATTTTCACCTCGACCACCAAACCTATGGTTTCAAAAACAATTTTAAACAAGTGTTTGCCACTGATGTGGCAATGTCCCCCGCCGCTAAAGAATGGAATATCTATATTTACTACTTTTCATTTTTGGCTCACATACAAGATGCCTGAAATGACTGGTGTCTGCATAATCACCCAATGTAGGCTGTCAACATACTTGAAAACATTGGGTGCAATGTTTTATGAGATATCGCCTTTAAAAAGCGGTCAAAGTATCATGGTGACCTTGAAGATAAGGTCAAGGTCACCCAAATAAACTGGTGTCTGTGTAATACCCCAATGTAAACTGTCACCAAATTTGAAGACATTGGGTACAACAGTCCATGAGATGCCGTGTTCAAAATGTCGTGGTGACCTTGAAAATAAGGTCACCTAAATAAACTGGTGTCTGCGTAATCCCCATATGTAGGCTGTCACCAAATTTGACTGACTGACTGAGTTTGGTTTTATGCCGCTTTTTAGCAATATTCCAGCAACATCATGGCGGGAGACACCAGAAATGGGCTTCACACATTGTACCCATGTGGGCATTCGAACCCGGGTCTTCGCGTGACGAGCCAACGCTTTAACCACTAGGCTACCCCACCGCCCCACCAAATTTGAAGACACTGGGTACAACAGTGCATGAGATATCACGTTAACAACAGTTTGAAAAGTGGTCAGTGTCGTGGTGACCTTGAAAATAAGGTCAAGGTCACCAAATCGTCTGGTGCCTTTGTAATCTCCTAATGTAGGCTGTCACCAAATTTAAAGACATTGGGTACAACAGTTCATGAGATATCGCATTAACAACAGTTTGAAAAGTGGTCAGTGTCGTGGTGACCTTGAAAATAAGGTCTAGGTCACCCAAATCGTCTGGTGTCTTTGTAATCCCCTAATGTAGGCTGTCACCAAATTTGAAGACATTGGGTACAACAGTTCATGAGATATCGCGTTAACAAGAATCGGCCGTACGTACGGACGGACGGACGCCGCTGAATACATAGTCCCCAGTTCCGCGTTGCGGCGGGGGACAAAAACAACTTTTCAACATTTGTCAGAGAAAGCTTCCTCAATATATATTTCATTTATGGAGGTCATCATCTGCTCTGTATCTAGCACCTGTGAAGATCTGGGTTAGAATTGATCTTCAGTAACCCATGCTTGTTGTAAGAGGCGACTAACAGGATCAGGTGGTCTGTCTTGCTGACTTGGTTGACACATGTCACATCCCAATTGCGCAGGTCAATGCTCATGCTGTTGATCACTGGATTGTCTGGTCCAGACTCGATTATTTACAGTCCGCCGCCATATAGCTGGAATATTGCTGAGTGCGGCAACCCACTCCCTCACTCACTCACTCACTCATTCATTCTGTACCTAGCACTGGGGCCTGGTTGTCGAGGAAATCCATCAGCAGAGACTGGAAGGCAGGCAGTCCTGGGGGAATCATCTGGTCCGAGCCAATCGAGTCTTTGTCCTCCATCATGTCTGTATCACCATACTTCTGTAAAAGTGGGAATGGAATGAGTCATGTCAGAAAAAGTCTTCAGAAAACTGACTGAGCACTTCTTTTTCCATGGCATATAATGTGATAGCCATAAAATCATAATTAAAATAGTTTTGTCTTAAAATGCTATCATCATGTTGACCTCAAAAGAGCAATCAGTACAGATGTATACCTCTGATTACCGAGATTGCTTCTTGCTGACCTACAAGTGTCACTAACAGTTGTATTTACCTCTGCCCTGAGCTCATTCTGCCTGCGTTCCAGCAGTTTAGCTGCTACGACAGCCCTATGATCCCCAGTGCGTTGTGTTGTCACTGCCCAGTCAATGAGCAGCTTGATGATAGGCTCATCCCCTAACATTGGCTGAAACAGCAAACATCTGGCATTAACTCACAACTTCTGGCATTAACTCACAACTTTTAATTACTCATGAACAATCCTTTCAAATTAATCTGGTAAGAGTAGATAATTTCAAGACAAGGAAGAGAAGTATTATCAATCAGGCTTTATTTAATCCATGAGAGAGGCCAAAAAGACGAACATGCCATTTGGGGGATGCACCCTTCCACAAGTAACTTAATACAGCAATCACAAGTGGTAACACCCAGAATACTGCTTCCTAAGAGTGCAGGTGAGTGACCTTCCATTAAACAGGTTCCGACCATATTTGTGCATTATCAAGTGAGTTACAAAATCTATTAAATATTTCAAAAGCATATCATACATTGTGATACATACATCAGTGAATTTGACTGATGCAAGGAAAATTATTGATGAATTATATTCAACCTCATGATCATCAACTTTGAGTAGCCAATCATGGACCTGGAATTCAACCTCACACCTTGGATACTAGTTATCTTAGATTGGTTTACGATTTCATAATTGCAAAATATATTACTTAAGTTTTCAAACAAATATCAGTACTAACTGGACTAGGAAGTAACTGCTCAGTTATTTGGACCCCGTTCAAATGGTATTTTAATATAGACTGTATATATAGAGGATACTAAACGACCTTCCGTGTAATACCGGTACCATTTTTATTAAACGAGTTAATGATTTGGTATCAAACGAGCGAAAGCGAGTTTGATGCTAAATCTTTCACAAGTTTAAGAAAGAATGGTATTTCACGGAAGCGAGTTTAGTATTCTGTTTATTACTCTCCAACATAAATGATAGAAAATGCCTACGAAGTGTGATGACTGTCAGCTTTCCACAAGTCAAGCAAGGTCTAATTACCATTGTGACAGAGGTATTACCATTATGACGTCATACGTCTAGTGGTATCACACTAGTGTAATATTGCCGTAAAAATATTACACGGGCGAGTAATAAACATTGATACCACATGAGTCCCTCACCTCATTGCCATCTTTGGTTTGGTTGATGGAGAATATTTTCTGGTAGAGCACATCATGAGAGTTGTTGACGTCAACCTTGTCAAAATGGTGTTTGTCCAGGTTATCTAGCACATGGAGGACTTTGCTGATCACGAACCCTGCAACAACAGTTCTCCATCTTGTGACAAAAAGTTAGCAGTGAATGAGCAAGGAATAAATGCTGTCTTACACACCAATACTTCAGCCACACCCCATGGCCTGCAAATAATCCAGACTGGGTGAGAAAGGCACCCCAACTCCTACCTTTGGCCGACTGCTGACACTTGTCTGATGACCACCGCACCTCAGCTCCCTTCCCCCGCAGTTTGATCTGGTGTTCAGAGGCTCGGATCTGAGCGCGGATCTACAAGTATTGGTAACATGTTGTTAGGAAATAATTATCAACATCTTAGTGTGGTCAAACAGGCTGTTGGATGCAGCCATTCAACATGTCATTATGATCAAACAGACTATTGATGGCAGCCTGATTTTTCTAATCTAGAATCCCCACAAGAAGTAATTGAGGAAATCTTCTGTAAGCTATCTATCTACCATGGCACAGAACACTTGCAATGAATTTGTCTAGATCTCCCAAAGGGAAGACATTCAGCCCCAAATCAATAGCAAAATTATGTCATCAAACATTCCCCAATGGGGATAAACTGTTCCCAATTCATGTCAATTGAGTAACAACAAGTATGACGGCTAGGTCCAGGTGACCACCACAACACAATACTGACCTGATTTTACATTACTGAATTTAATGCCATGTTAAAATAACTCTAAATTTGCTGGTAGTGTCAAATACCTGCTGACTTGACGTAAGACTGACCTGTTGGTTGTGTGGTCCGGGCAGCATTGGTAGACTAGAGGGAGCACACACTAGATGATCCAAGGGGGACCCACACAGGAAGGATGTGATCTTTCCCTCCCCCAGGTTATTCCATACAATGCCCGTGGGACACTTGAGCGTGAGTCGCTGTAAGATGGCGGACAGGTTGAGAATGAGGCTCCGGTGTTGAGGGCAGCCACTCAGCTCGGCAAACATCACTGCCATTGGGCTGGAGATATACTGGTTGGTGCTCGTTGTTGTTATGGCTCTGAAAGAAAATTAGCATGCTCTCTTTCAATGGTGAACAGGCTAGAAGAAAACAAGTGTTTGCCACTAATATGGCAATGTCACACGCCACTAAAGAAGAATGAAATATTTATAATATATTTACTACTTTTTATTTTTTGGTCACTTACAAGAAATGACTGGTGTCTGTGTAATCCCCCAATGTAGGCTGTCACCAAATTTGAAGATAATGGGTACAACAGATCATGAGATATTGCGTTAACAAGAGTTTGAAAAGTGGTCAAAGTGTCGTGGTGACCTTGAAAATAAGGTCTAGGTCACCAAAATCGACTGGTGTCTGAGTAATCCTCCACTGTAGGCTGTCATCAAATTTGAAGACATAGGGTATAACAGTTCATGAGAAGCGTGTTAACAAGAATCTGGACGTACGAACGCTGCTGAATACATAGTCCCCCGTTCTGCATTGCAGCGAGGGGACAACAATAACGCAATCATTTGTCCCAGTAATAACCTATAGGTCACGTATCCTTGGTTATCCACTAATCACATTTTCATATGCATCAATTCTCCAACACAGCTTCGTCTGGTCCCCATTTAAAGGGAATGATACTAAATATGAGCCCGAGCCTAGATTTTCGAAGCTCACATGGCTAAGATAAACGTAAGTGTCATACATAAAAATTAACTTACGACTATCTTAGAGCTAAGAGAGCTTCGAAAATCAAGGCCCAGATTAGTGACTTGAGAGACAATGATACTGATGTCACATGTCTGTCTATGATGGTGCATGGATCCAAGGCATTCGAACAAACCTGTAGAGGTTGCTGATTCCTTGAAGAGAGTCCTCCTTGGGGTACTAATAAGCATTTATATGTCCATTAAAAATTCCCACGACAGTTGTTACTATATTTTGAATAAAATATTTACAAAACAAAAACTTGTTTTGTCTTGTTTGACCTGCAGGGTCCTCCTTGGGGTACTTATAAGCATAAGACAGACTCCCATAGAATAGAGTCTGGAGTGGCATTCCGTCTAGCAAAACAAATCCTAATTCAAGTGGAATTCTCCAATCTAAAAATAGATTAAGATCGCACTTACCCAGTCACGTGACCTCCAACGCCTATTAGGCAAGGACATGAGGCAGGATCAGGGTCGAACAATTGTCGAGTTAATACTGACTGACTGACTGAGTTTGGTTTTACGCCGCTTTTAGCAATATTCCAGCAACATCACGGCGGGGAACACCAGAAATGGGCTTCACACATTGTTACCATGTGGGCATTCGAACCCGGGTCTTCGGCGTGACGAGCCAACGCTTTAACCACTAGGCTACCCCACCGCCCCTGTTGAGTTAATAAGTTACTGCGGTTTAATGGCTTGAATACTACCCTCCTTCATGAAAGAGGGCTTTGCTTGAGCCGCCATAAACCCTGAGAGAATTATTAGCCCTGTTAGACTTTCTGATGAAATCGAACGAGAGCAATCGCCATTGTTAAAGTTACTCCAATATCCGAGCTAAATCCACAGAATAGGGATTCTGAAATCCCCCTATCTGCACATCAGAGCGCCCCACCTATCAACATACTGAATGGGTGTCAAATCCCGCCTCGAAGCCAGCATTGTATCTGCAACTGCTGCAGGAATTCCGCGTGTCTGGAGGTTAGAGTGAGTGAGAATGTCTGGCCTTAAAGGTAATTTGAGTCCCAGCCTGCAGGTTTGAACACCAACATGACTGCTGTCAATTCCAGCACATTGATGTGCAGGTTGTGACTTTATTATCCAGAGACTGCAGGTCGCCCACCAGAACACCGCCCCCAACCAGGGAGGGATGTATCTGTTTGGACTGAGAGCGTCGGCGTCTCCAGGGGGAGCCCCTTGGAGAGACGCCAGATGTCTGTCCATCACTGCAGATGAGGAACCAACCACTCTGGCGTCTCGAGAAACATGTCATGGCTCCCTGAGTGTGACCCCAGGAGTATGGGTTTCATCCTCAAACTTGAATCGACCCGTTTTAAAAAAGGGCGAGTGAGTGAGTTTGGTTTTACGCCGATTTTAGCAATATTCCCGCAATATCACGGCAGGGAATACTAGAAATGGGATTCACACATTGTGCCCATGTGGGGAATCGAACCCAGGTCTTCGGTATGAACCCTGAGGAGCCAGTCATCTAGGTACGGGTGACAACACCGGCACTGCGATCTGGCTACCTGAGCTGGAATCAACCTCAACTTGGTGAACACCACTGGCGGGAGGTGTAGGTGTAGGTGGGGGAAGAGCATTCCTTAGAAACCTATAGCCTGTTTACCTCTATAGAGGCTTACTCGTTTTGGACAGGGGTGCTGACATCAAATATCATTCCCTGCCTGAGGCAGATTAGAGAAAAACATAAAATCTGCGTTCCTGAATGGCGTAAATCCCAAGCAGTAAACACAACCTTGGGCGCCATGAGCCTCGTTGTGTGTATATGTATGTACTGTATATATGTATAACATAACACAACATAACATAACAGGAAAGGCCCTAATTACAAAATGTAAAGCAAAGCAAAACATAAAAAGCAACGCCACCACATTGACTTAACATGTAAACAAGTAGAAGAATGTGGTATGTCACTCGCCGTATCCGCCACCTTGTCAAACACGTAGCTTGAAGTGGAGAATTTGGCAAATATAAATAACACAAATTGCAATGCAGCATGAAAAATCGATGAACGATATTCCCCTAGTAGTATCACAAAGTGATCGTACAGAAGAAATCACTCGTCGTGTGACATTGTCAACAACAAAAAGTACCAGCTAGACACAATGATGTGTCACAAATAATTATATATATACATGTAATGTGATGTAATTCGATGTAATTATAAAACGCGCCACAACAACCCCTAATCTGAGGCGTAAAAGTCTTTCAAGCGAAAACACACATAGAAAAGGGAAAGTAGAGTGTCCCGCCTGCTATCTTGCAAACACATAGTTAGAAGTGGCAAGGCGACGGATATAGCATGACATGGTCAACAACAAAAGGCATGAAGCTAGACATGATGACGAGTCACAAATAATTATATATATATATATACATGTAATGCGATGTAATTATAATACAACAATCCCTAATCTAAGGCGTAGAAGCCTTTCAAGCACGCATAGAAAAAGGGAAAGTAGGCCGCCCCGACCGCCATCTTGCAAACACATGGTTTGAAGTGATGAGGCGACGGAAAAGTTACAACACGTATGAATGAAACAATTTTGAAACGCGTTCCATATATCGCCCATGCAAATAGAAAAGAACCATACATACAGAATTTGTTTCTTTCTCTTTTCATCTTTATCCTTGTTTACTAGGAATTCAAACTGAAAAATTCTTTTTCAGAAGTCCTCCTTGGGGTACTTATAAGCATTAAAATGTCCATTTTAAAAGCCTACGACAGTTGTAACTATATTTTAATAAAAAATATTTACAAAATCAAAAACACGTTCTGCGTTATGAGACCACCCCTACAGGGCCCCCGTGGGGTCCCCTACCGGCAAGAGCAGGTAACTCTAGCCGACAACCTCGCACCTCACTTTTCATGCTGTCGATTTCCATGTGAGACGTGCGTGTTGTTCATTGGAGTTTTACTACTTCGAGCCTTGGAAATGAGTGCTAAAGAATCACCTGTTGTATGTATGGTTCCTTTTTCTCTCACACGGGCGCTAGATGGAATTGTACGTTGATTTTTTCATTCATGATTGTTGTAACTTTGTCGGACAGGCTCCATTTTCCAGCCATGTGGCAGGCAAGATGGCGGTCGGTTTGGCTTCCTTCTGTCCTACGGTTGTAACTTTTTGGGTTACATCGCTAGGTCGGTGGGGTTTTTCTTGTACATTTACTATTGTAGGCTTGCCTAACGTTTTCACTTTCAGCAATGTAAGGTGAGTTGGGTAAGTTTTTCATATTTTTTCATATTTTTTACGCTGTATATGTTACGCAGGAAGCTTGCATTTTCGCCTCTTGTTCATGATACATGTTAAAGGGTTCAAATTGCTTTAGCTTTTCACAAATGGTTTATCGCCCGTGCGTATTCTGTTTTGTCTTGTGTTGCATATATGTGTGTAATTTAGACTGTACAGTGAAGCCTCGTTAATCCGGACGGTTGCGTTTCTCAGTAAATTCGTCCGGATTGTGAATAGTCCGGACTACTGAATCAAGACCCAAGTTGCTTCCCTAAGAATTACAAAAACGACACGAATCTGGATAAAACAAATAAGCATTTAATGTCAAGCTTAATTCATCACATCAATAATTTTACCGAGTGACATCCGCATGTTGATCCGATCGCGACGTGTCTGATCACGTCCTTCCTCAGCACAGGTGAGGTAATGTCTAACAAGCGATCCATTGTAGTATGCCTTGAATGACCGAATTATTCCTGCATCCATCGGTTGAATATGAGACGTGGTATTTGGTCACATTTCGCAAAGTTAGGGAAGCACACTTGTGACTTGCAGCATTGTCGTAAAGCAAAATCACTTTTAGTCCACGTGACCGGATCTGTCTGTCAAAGTACATTAACCAATCACAAAACAGCTCACTTGTCGTCCACGCCTTTGTATTGTGGTGTCAATCAAAGTGTAAATGTAGAGTATCTTCAGTCGGGAGCTTTTAATGTCTAATTAAAACAACAACCCAGTTGGCCAGTTAATTAAGTAAACATCGCCGGGAGGTGTTGTTACGGTTCGTGAACACGACTTACAGCGTCCGGACTGTGAAGCAATTTACTGTTTATTTTACTGATTGGTGACAGCTACTTACCGTCCGGTTCCAGAAACCGATTTCGGATTATCGAGGCAAATTATATAGGCATAGATTGGTAACAAGCTGAAATCGCCCGGGAGGCGAGACATCCGGATTATCGGAGTCCGGACTAACGGGGCTTCACTGTACATCAGTTTCCATTAAAATGTTTGTTACAGTTTCACCCGTGCGTTGCATGTGCGGCCATGTTGCCACCACAGGATACTCACGATGTTTGCCTCGGTTGTTTGGCGGTAGATCACCATGATGATCTAACTTGTGAGAATTGCAAGATTTTCTCACCCAAGACTACCAAACGTCGGTCCGCCGATTTTTTGTTTTACAAAAATTTGCTGGAGGCGGGGGGAGACTTATGGGCTCAGGACCCACCATCTAAAGCGGGTAAAAGCAAGAAGAGTTCTTCTTCTGCTAGCGGGGGTGGGGGTAAGCGGGCCAAGACGGCGGAAAAACCTTCTTCCCCTATCCCCTCCACTTCTACTCAATCTGATTCCGCACCCTTACATATAACAGATTTAACCTCTATTTTGCAGCAACAGATCACGTTGGTTCGCTCGCTTATCTCGGATGCGATGTCCGGTCTCCGTGAGGAGATCGGTTTCTGTTCGGGAGTTAGCGGCGCTCCAGGGTCGTCTGTCGGGGGTTCCACTGCCTCGGGCTTCGGCCCAGGGACGGGTTCTACCCCCGGAGGGGTGCTTGCCTTGAGCCTCGGCTCTGGCGACCCCTCTGCTGGCGCGCCTGTGTCTGGCCTGAGCTTCGGCTCCGGTTCAACGCAGCGTACTGGCGCTGTGGCTACGGGTCTCGTACCATTGTCCATCAGCTCGCAAGCGGACACCACTAACATCTTCACCATGTGAACGACAGCATGGAAAGTGCGTTATGAGGTTCAGGATTAGAGTTACCTGCTCTTGGCTGTGGGGGCCCGGTGGGGCCCTACAGGGGTGGTTGAACAAGACAAAAACGAGTTTTTTGTTTTGTCAATATTTTATTCAAGTATAGTTACAACTGTCGTAGGAATTTAAAATGGACTTTTTAATGCTTATATGTACCCCAAGGAGGACTTCTTCTGAAAAAGAATGAGTGAGTGAGTTGAGTTTTATGCCGCACTCAGCAATATTCAAGCTATATGGCGGCGGTCTGTAAATAATTGACTCTGGACCGGACAATCCAGTGCTCAACAGCATGAACATCGATCTACGCAATTGGGATACGATGACATGTGTCAACCCAGTCAGCCAGCCTGACCACCCAATCCCGTTAGTCACCTCTTACGACAAGCATGGGTTACTGAAGATCAATTCTAACCCGGATCTTCACGGATTGAAACAGAATGTAAAGTTCATCAACTGCTGTGATAACTATTTGAACTTAGGGCCGCCTAACTTTGTTGATAAAGACTTACCCATTGCCATTAGTCGTCAGCATGGGGGACTGTGTGCGAGGCGAGGTGCAGCCGGACTCACTGCACAGCTGGGCCAGCTTCCGACTACAGAAGTATGCCAGTTTCCGTGACAACAGTGCCCGAAAGTGTCACCTCATCCAGGTACTGAAAACAAAACATGAAATATCTAAATCTACAAATGCCTCACTACAATAAAGAAATGTCCCAAAACACTCACTTTCAAAGCTTAGAGATATCTGAGATGATGTTATGATGAAACATGTGGACTTCATTCCTCACCTGAACAATCTGAGCTAGGATGAGTTTGAGAACTGTGTCATCGTTCTGTTTGATCTTGTCCAGGAGCTCAATGAGCCAGTTGAGAAACTCTTGGTGGTCCAGCAAACCCTCCTGAATAACACAACATTCATTACTTTCTGTCTTACAGAAGAATGGAAAACAAAATGCAAGCAAATGTTCAGTTGTGCATTATAAAAAGGGTTGTTAAAGATAGCACATTGATTAGGTACAGTGAAATGGGATTTGATGGTCTTATGGAGCCTGCCTTCTACTAGTTCTAGATTACCAAGCAGCAGTTTAATAAACATGGACACTCCAGACCCAAAATACCGACTCTGAGCTGGCTAGTCCTTGTCTCAAATCATTAATACCAACACCAGGCAGGACAACAGCACTTAGGACTGCGGTCCATTATATAAAGCATGACATGATGAATGAATACACAGCTGATGGGCACCCAGATCAGTGAAGCATGTGCTACTTACGTTAAATTTGTGTTTTGCCAAGCGACATGTGTAGTGGAAGTGTTTCAGGGCTGGCTCCAGGTCGACCTGTGCTGGGGGCTGGGTTGCTGTCAGGAAGCTGGTCTGTGGGGCACCACCGCCACCGTATGCATCCTGAATCTTCTGGAGCTGCTCATACAGGAACTTGGTGATCGCCTGTGTCCATGCTGTACAACACACATAAACATTCAGCTGAGAAGTACTGGATTTACTCACAGATGAATCACTGCACACAACACACTTAGATAGTCATGATTATGTAGAAACTTGCAATCTTAATGATAAATGATAAATACTACTTTGGTCATGATCGACACAATAAATATTCAAATTCTGTTGTATCGGCTTGGCTGATGCTTCCGTGCCCATCCTGTCAGAACCAATTGCAAGATTCTACTGTTTACCTAGCGACAGATCTGGTGCTTGTTTCTTCCTCCGGGTTTCATTTGAGGCCATATTATGTGCTGTGGTTATCTTGATATACCAGGCTGCTCGCACCATGGGAACAGCAAAGTCACATAGCGTTGTGAACGTCTCCTCCTTCTTGTTGAAGGTGGGAACCTGAACAAACAAGTCGTATACATTGACAGGAACTTAATGTCACTCTTGGGGTTAATAAAGCACATCTTGTCAGTGTTGTATTTGAATCTGTTGCCACTTTAATTTAATCACTGTGAATATCCTTTGCATTCAAAAGGTTTGTTTTTCTCGACCTTTCCTTATTTCATTGTGAAATCTGTAAGTCTGTACCAAGACATCGTGAGTGACATGCTTCGTGCCATGAAGGATGTAGATGCTGCATGATCATTACTAGTATACTACATGCAGTACCGCAGATAATATGTTGAAAGGAATACACAGGCATAATTACCTTTTTGCTGAGATGAGCGAGTGGTTTGTTTCCTGCAAGATCCTTGAACCATGCTTCCATAGCAATCTTGTTCCTTGCAGCCTGGAAATACAAACATTTTCTCAATAGAACACACAATCAAACAGCTATTTTCAATAGTTTATTATCTGTGGAATTCTTACATTTGGCTGGCACTTATGTTCAGTTATTCACCTTATTCACCAAACACAGAGGGCTTATCACTCACTATTAACTGATGATCACAGCTTTGAATGTTGGAAATACCTCTAACTGTATCTTGTATCAATTTGAGGATGCACTCAAGTCACAATACCATTTGTTTCATGATACTCTTCGGAAGAAGAGTATTAACATCTTAATAAACAGTGGCAAAGAGAAAGTTACATATACATGACTACACTTGTGATAAAGTAAACCTGTTAAACAGGGTGACATAATTAAAACAGTTTGTGAATGAACTGTAACTACACAAAAAGAATCATGCATTATATGATCTGCAAATCATCTCAGTCTCAAATGTGGCACTGTTAACATCTGCATGTGCATTGTCAAGAAGCCATACAATACTTACCGGCCAGAAATTGTCCTTCATTGGCGGCTGCTGTCTTTTCTTCGAGTCTTGTAATGTGTTGATCTCCATCTTCTTGGTGATGATGGAGCTGAACTGCGTCCCAAACTAAGGAAGACGCCACATACAAAACATTAACTGAACATGCAGAACATGGTCTGGAGGAACCTGTGAATGACCAATCATAATCACAATCAGCCTCAAAGTGATGTCATTTTACAAAAGCTGCTGTGATGAGGGTAACAGTATACCATAATGTATCAAAAGGTACTATGGTAGTACTAGAGTGGGGGTTTTGCCGCACATGCGGCTTAGAGGCTTATTTTTATGAAATAAGTTCCCCAGCACCCCCTTAAAAACGGCGATGGTCTATCGACAGGCATCCTTCGATGTGCCGCCAGCCTAGACCCAAAGTTCCGAATATTGACTGATCGGAGTGACCGGTGGTGTGAAGGTAGAGCGAGGGAGACGAGTTCGAGACACGGGTATCGGTGGAAACTTTTGTGAAGGTAAGTTACACAAGAAGTAACGGCGGCCCTGGGATCCGTCTTTGCTAAGTTAAACAAGATGGTGGTCCAGCAGTAACGGCAGCCTGGCAGATCCATTACTGCAGCCCAACCAAGCGAAGCTTACCAACGCCGCCTAGATCTGGGTTTCTCTGGCTGGTCACGCTGGTATAGAATACAAAGCAAAAGGCCGTATTAGGGTTGCTGGCTGGTTGTAGCGAAAAGGATGTTTGAAACCAGACGCTGAAAACTTTTTAGAAGCCACAATCAATTATTTTAAAATCGGGTTACATAAGCTTGGAAAGCGTATGAGTTACATTGCTAAAATCTACAAAAAACAGTTTGCTTGATGTGCATTGATCTAAACAGTAGCTGTTGCCTAGCTGCTCTCGCCTGACTGCCTAAGGTCGGGTTGACCTAATGTGGCTTTCTTGAAAAGTAGTAGTACGATGAGGGTTTATTATTTTTTACTAGGTTATGTTTACATCAACAATACAGTTTAAGGTGAATCTTTGATGAGATGTTTGTTCTTGGTAAGGAAGGTTTGAATGATTTGTTGTCGACCCTGTTCTATGAGCTTTTTTTTCTCGTCTTCACCGATGTCAGCGGTTTTTCGAGTCTTGGTTCGAATTTCTTCTTTCATGCGGTGGTATTTTCGTGATTTCCGACATCAACGAACGAAACTCTTCCTCAGAGATTTTGTTATCGGTGATCGCGGTGGAAATATGATCGTTAAATCGTGCTTAACTTGGCTTCGGCCAGAACCCTGATCTCGTCATACTTCAGCGCTTTCCGTTGCAGATGACATGAAATGAATTTAAGGGCTACTCCGGCCAGCCCCGATACCCCGGCAGTTATTTCTAACCCGAGGACGACGGGTGTGGCCACGATGGTGGATAATAAGCCAACGCCTGCTACGCCTAATCCCATGCTAACTGCCCAGGAGATGTGTCCACACCGTCGACAGCATTGACGGCTCCATGGTATTTTTTGTGCAATCCGAGTCGCACATCGCATTCCAGTTGGTGTTTAATTTCGCTGATCTGTCGCAAGCGAAATCCATCCACGGTTTCACGTGTTTGAGCCACGTTGTCCATGGCCGGATACAATCCCATCTCCAGTATATTATAAGTTAGGAAATAAGCTTCAATTGATCCGCCGTCAATATTCGATGAATTTACTTTAAGCTGATGAGGTACACGTGATTGTATGCAAAAGCATGGTAGAGTAAAATGTCATCTCCAATAAAAACCTCGACTCCCTCGAGGCTTGCGTTGGAAGCTGTTCCTAGTTGTACATAAATACGACAGCGTTGATTTTTATGGCGATCATGCCAGCGTATGGTAATTCCAGACAGAAGTCCCACCAGTTGTCTGGAGGCATTTCCAAGAACAACGTCGATAATAAGGGTAGAACCTGGTATCACAGTGATCCACGAGTCTGGGACTTCACTATATCGTTTTAAATAGAGCCATTTCGCTGTGTCTTCCGAGTGAGGGACTAGCATATAACCCGTTTGATCTGGTAATGGTGATGCGTACATTCCCTTTTTATGAAACGGAATAAAACTTCCCAGTAGAATCCCATTGTTTTTGAGTTCGAGGATATAACGATCCTGATCCATGACGAGATTGGGGTAGGTCAGGACGATATTGATGATCCAGTTCAATTCGACGATGACTTCTCGTTGTTGGTACACGTTGTTTTGTAACTGCAGGACATACAAGGCGTTTTCCATACCGGGTTAGTCGAATCCTTGCATGTCCCCGAAATCGGAGTACGCGATGGTGGCAATTTGATTCGGGTTTGACATGTCGCCATGGTTATGCTCGTATTATTGAAGAGTCTTCAATTGATTCTCAGACAATTTCTCGTGCGTAAACTTTAAGCTGATGAGATGGATTTTTGAAGGTAGAAAAATCCTCGTGAGCGCGGTTGTATTCTCGTGTTAATCGTGATTCCTTCAAGACTCGCGTAAGCGTTGACGTTTTTCTGTATGTAAATCAAGCACACGTGATTTTGATGTTTTCGAGGCCAACGGAGGTTTACTCCCGTTATAATTTCAACATCTCGATCGGGTGATGCTTTGATATAAAGCGTTGAATTGCTTGGAATCCCTTCTAGGACATTGGACACCTCTTCGAATTCAGGCACCAACTGTAAACTCGTATTTTGGCTATCCGGTTGACTCGCTAGCAAATGACCCGCTTTATTCGGGATGAGGCTCACGAGCACACTCCTTCGTTGCAAGGGGACTTAAGACGCGATGAGAATCCCCTTATTGAGGTCTTTTGTTAAATAATGATCCTTCGACTCCGCAAACACGTAGGGAGAAACAATGGACAGAGTAGCCAGTCTATTTGGGAGGAGATCAACGTCCATTGGTTATCATCGGTTAGGACGAACTGCTACAACGTGTTTTTTAAGAGACCTCGGGTCTCAACATGATCTAAATCGCCCAGATTGCCATCAAATGCGGGACCATCATCCATTTGTTATTGTCATTGAGGACAAAATTGTACTGGGTGTTTTTTAAGAGACCTCTAGTGACGACATCGTCTAAATCTCCTAGGTTACCACCACCACAGCGGACTGCCGCTCGCCTGTAAGTGTTGTTTCTTAATTCTAAAAAACGTATATTTTGCCTTCGACCCCGGGGTCGTTGAAGCCGCGCGTGTCCCCGAGGTCGGAGATCGCTGCGGTAGGACATTTTCTAATTTGCATGACCGTTCCTGGACCCGAAGCTTGAGTCATCGTTGTTTGATGTGCAGTGTGGCGTTTAGATAGCCGATATGTGTGGGTTTATGTCTTATATCTAAAACGGATAGTTTCAATTCCGCGATGTTGCCCCGGGTTAACTTTTTGTACTTTAAGGTCGAAAACTATTCCGTTCTGCCGTCGTTGCACTTTTCCGTTTTGACGGGCACGGATCTCAGCAGTGTGGAAAGGCGTTCGCCTTGAATGTTGTCCGTCGTGCTTACCTGATCGAGATGAACGAACACCTTGTGATAGACCAGGAGGCTCGGTAATTTCGAACCCGGTGTCTAGGGGATGTACGTTGTTCGACGGAAACCCGAGCGTTCTCGCCAAGGGCCTACCGAATCAGATTGGTTTTTTCCCATCCGTGAACGTCAGCGTGCCATTCAACTCGTTGAGTTTGAGGCTGGCTCCCATGGGTTTGAAAATTTCGTCGTTAAACATGCACACACTGTAATAACCGTTGGACAACTCGTGGCGATTGCTATCGATGAATAGCTTGTTGTTCCCTTGACGTTGACTGATGTTCGCCCATCGCGTGTAGTAGGTGAGATCGCAGAGTGCGACTTCGAGGTCCCCCGACGTATTATCGATCGCGTGCAGCAGTAAAACGGGCTCGCCGTTCGTGATTCCCGGGAGCGTGATGTACATGTTACACATATACAGGACACTGCGGTATACTTTCAATATGGCTACACCCAAGTACCAGCCGGGAGTGATTTATCCTAAAAGCGATAATTCAAGTGCTACCGATCTCACGCACATGAAAATCGTGGTGGATGCGAAGGAGGGTTCCCACTTTCGAGCTCGATTTATCGATGTATTTGAAAAGTATAGGCTTTCGGTCACGAACGTCAAGGCAGTCCACACCTGGTTTCACAACCCGATGCAATTCTGGCAGAATCAATTCAATTTCTCCGTGTTGACGTTCAGAACGACGTGTTTGAAACAGTATCAACTCGACCCTGCCTGGTACTACACCAGCCCTGGCCTCCTGTGGATGCGCTGCTGAAGAAAACCAGAGTTAAACTGTAATTGCTCACGGATTACGACATGCATCTGTTCGTCGAGAAAGGCATGCGCGGTGGGATTTCCATGGTCTCCAAACGGTACGCGAAAGCCAACAACCAATACGTGGAAAGCTACGACTCGAGCAAGCCCACCAACCACCTCCTGTATCTCGACGCCAACAACCTGTACGGCTGGGCCATGAGCCAGTCTCTACCCACCGGGGGTTGGACGATGGTTGGATGATGAGATCGATATCATGAGCATCACGGCGGATTCGAACAAAGGCTACATCCTCGAAGTGGACTTGGACTTTCCCGCAGAACTCCACGCTGCTCACAACAGCTATCCGCTGGCTCCCGAACGGTTGACGGTGAACCGAGACTGGATGTCGGACTATCAACTAACGTTGCTCGGGAATGATAAACGTGGAATAACTCGTTCCGAACTTGATGAACAAGAAAAAGTATGTGGTGCACTATCGGAATCTGCAACTGTACTTGTCGCTGGGCATGAAGCTGAAAAAAATACATCGGATGCTCAAATTTAATCAAAGTCCCTTGATGGAACCTTACATTCGGCTGAACACCAAGCTGCGAAAACAGGCCACCAGCGACTTTGAGAAAAACCTCTACAAACTCATGAACAATTCGGTGTTCGGCAAAACCATGGAAAACTTGAGAAAACGGGTGACGGTCAAACTAGTGCGATCTCACAAGGAAGAAAAACTCAGGAAACTCATAGCCAGCCCGGCCTTCAATCGAAGTAAACTGTTCGATAATGACTTGGGGACTCTCCACATAAATAAAAGCTACATCAAGCTCAACCGACCCATCTACATGGGGATTAGCATTCTCGACCTGTCCAAACATTTGATGTACGACTTTTATTACAACCAACTCGAGCCACAGTACGGCGATCGATGCGAGCTGCTGTACACGGACACGGATTCCTTGTTGTTGAATATACACATCGAGGACGTGTACTAGGACATGGTGAAACACATCGATTTGTACGACACCAGCGATTACCCCCAAGACCACACCCTACACAGCACGACCAATAAAAAGGTCCTCGGCAAAATGAAGGATGAATGCGCCGACACACCGATCGCCGAGTACATCGGATTGAGACCCAAGATGTATTCTATTAAGAAAGCCGATCACGACGAAATCAAAAGAGCCAAAGGGGTGAAGAAATACGTGGTGAAACGACACATCCAAAACACCCTCTTCAAACAGGCTCTCTTCGATAAACGCACGTTCAAACACCCCATGAACGCGTTGAGAAGCGACAAACACAACATCTATGGCATCACTCTGTACAAGATGTCGCTGTCGCCCTGGATACCAAACGATGAATTGCGAACAATGGCATCCACACTATTACAAGTCGATCCCGGACGCGAGTTCATGGGAGCCGTGTCGCAGCTGTTATCGAAGCATAAAGTCCAGGTGAGACGAGGCGTGGCCGGAGCTCACCGAAGCCAAGCCATCGTCGAAAGATTCAACAGGACTTTAGCTGAGCATTTGTTCGGACATCAGTATGCCCAAGAGATGGTCAACCCAGAAAAACGATCGACAAAATGGGTGGTACGCTTACCGCGAGTGGTGTCGGCGATCAACAACGAAGTCACTCGACAAGTCGAAGCCATTCGAATGAAATCTGTGACGACCGAATCGGCTGTGCCATCGAGTCACGGCCGAGAGAAAGAACTACCGGACCAGGTCGTCGTGAGGTATCTGTACCAGCCCGGTGAACTCGAAGGAGGGGATAAACGTCGCACCACAGACCCCATATGGTCCATGAAAACGTACCGCGTCAACCGAGTGGACATCAAAGACGACAAACCGAATCTGTATTACTTGCAAGACGGACCGGGTAGGGGATTTGTCCGAGAGGAATTGATGATCGTCCCTCACGACACGGTATTGCCCCCTTCTTATTAAAGATTCGTCTTATGTATCTCATTATCAACATGTGGAGATTGATCGAGAAACAGTTGTGCAGACACGTCGGGGTGGACGTCAGTGGCCTCGATATTTACGCCGCCCTGCGTCGAGTCTTAAGTCGAGGGAAAATACACCAGCCTGTACGACAGTTTAGGTGTCATGGGCATCGAACGGTTACAACGTCTCATGGATACGTTAACCGATTACAGCCTGACAACCAGGGAACGCACCGCCCTGTACTCCACCTACTCCGTAGCTTACTTGGACGAGTTCATGGCAGACCCACTCCATAAAGTCGTCGCCGAATATTACGGCTACATTTAAATCAAGTCCAAACCCTGTTTGCTTTCTAAGCTTATGTAACCCGATTTTAAAATAATTGATTGTGGCTCCCGCGTGACAGGCCACAGCCAGAGAAATACTCTGACGTCAGGTCTAGACGGCATTGCTAAGCTTGGCCGCCATCTTGGTTGGGCTTAGCAACGATGGATCTGCCAGGCGGATCTGCCAGGGCTGCCGTTACTAGGCTGGACCACCATCTTTGTTTGGCTTAGCAAAGACGGATCTGCCAGGGCCGCCGTTACAAGGCTGGACGACCATCTTGTTTAACTTAGCAACAACGGTGCTAGTTTCATTTGCAAAAGTTTCTGCCGATACTCCGTCTCGAACTCGTGTCGCTGGATTACGAGTCCTACGCTCTACCTTCACACCACCAGGACTCCCGATCAGTCAATATTCGGAACTTTGGGTCTAGGCTGGCGGCACATCGAAGGATGCCTCTCGATAGACCAACGCCATTTTTAAGGGGGGCTGGGGAACTTATTTCATAAAAATAAGCTTCTTAGCACGCATGTGCGGCAAAACCCCCACTCTAGTACTACTACTAATCTGTCAAAAGCATGGACCTTCAATTTGGAAAAAAACAGAAGCGATTTTCACATCATTATTTACTTACCTTATCCAGATTGATGTCAGCATTTTTCTCTGATCCATACTGAAGTGGAAAAGTGAATAAGTTGAGGTGTGTTGACAGTGGGGGAGGAGCAAGAATGTAACCATGGAAACATGAACGATCAACTTTTCAGATTTATCAAGCGCATATGATTAAGTTTGTCATAAGTATGGTAATGCCACTCTGAAAAGTATTTTAGTGAAATGACTTGTGTCTAACAGATCTCTTAACAGCAAACTGTAACCCTTCAACAACTTGGCGACGGTTCCTAAAGATCTCATGGACTGATCACTAAGCTACTGAGGTAACATCCACATTATGTAATAGGAATTGTACATTCCTGCAACTTTGTGACAATGAGCCACAGGTTAGAGAATTGTTGGTAGGTAGGTATTAAATCACTCTTAAAATTAGAAACCTGCATTTGCTCTTGAAAATGTTACCAAACTAAATTCATATACAGTGTGATACAATATTTCATTGCAATTGGGTTAAAAATAAGACAAACTGTTATTTCAGTGAAGTTTTTTTATTGTGATTGAATTACTTCTACCGAAGTACAAAATAAAGGCAATGGACCTAGATATCAAAATAAATTCCAAGACTGACAGAAACTTACCTCATCGGAGAAGGATGACTGGTTGCTGAAGCCATGCTTAACACTGGCTTGGTCAAGTTCATCCTGTGCAGAAAAAAAACAAGAAAAGTGAATTCAAGAAATTCTAATTGCAGTAAAGTGTTTGTGTTGGTTATTAATTTGGGTTTCATCATATTCATTCTTTATAACCATTCTCTTTCAATTTCTTTAAAATTAGACATAAACCTTTAAATTTTCTTTCTACATTAACAATGTTTATCATTGTATTCAAATGTCTTACTGATTTCCTTCACTATCGAAGACTAAATTTAAATACATGTAGTAAATATTTATTAACTTCTTAATAAATGCAACAGGTATAGGTCACATGTAAAACATATCAATTTTCATACATCATCAGAAGATCGCTGTTTTAAGAGATCAAAATCTAGGAAATACAATCACCCAAAATTCTTTCACTGTAATCTAAGATTAATTGGTCAACAGTGTCAGGTTTAAAGTAAATGAAAGGAAAAAGGAATCTTCTCTTTTGAAGGTGTTTGCAGTACATGACTAAGTTTACAGATGTTTCTCTCTTTGTGATGTAGTTGTGGTGTCACAGGAGATTTTATTTGACAGCATATAACATATTTTCTCCTTAGTCCAGACCAATTGTATTTTTTGTTTTATGAATTTTTGTCCTCAGATACCTAAAGGCAGGACGGAAAAAAAAATATAATAAATAATAGTCAAAGTAATATTCCTTCTAAATATTAAAAGTATTTATTTTTATGAAGTGTATATGGGGCAAAAAACAATACAAAATTTCTTGTAAGTTTACATTTTTGGCCAATAAAAACATTAGGATTTAATTTTCTGATCGGGGACAATTAATTTATGTATTGTTTCTTATACTTGAAAAAATATGACTGGCAGATCCGTAAAACAAGAAATAAAATTGGTTTGGCCTTACAATGTCAAACAAATGTACAATTTCAAAGCTCTAATATTGTATTAATATAATAATTGTACCAATTCACGTCAATGAATGAGACAATAATGAAGACAACATCAGCATTAAATTAATTTGTACAGAATGTATTCGCCAAAAGTTGCACATTCAACATGTTCAAGGATCCGAGGGTTAACCTACCTTAACCCCAACCCAATTATTCATAAACATCAAAGATGCTACATATTTTCTTATTTTAATCGTTCATCTTGAAACATATTGAGATTTTATTGTGCGGTTTGGTGGCAGCTGATTCATAAAATCGCACCCTGAGGCCTGACCATGCTGACTATTACAATGTTCACAATTTGACAGAGAACCGAACTTTGAATTAATCATCATGTTCGTTTGCTTATATTAAGATAACGCTGAGAAAATACATAAACACCAAGTCCATGAACTCAGAAGAAACACTTGAACATGATTATGTATTGCATGAAAACTATGCATTCAACGGTTGTTCTCTGAATAGTTATGACATAACTGATTTCAAGGCTATAAGTATGAAATTATCAGTTTCTATTCTATATTCTACACAAATGAGCAACATACGAACTCTTTGAATACATGTTTTTAGAAATAAACATCATGTAAAACGCGACAGCTGAAGCTCTATAAGATAAATCATTGCATGTCTTGTCAACAATGTTTTGGTAAATCTAGGTCAGGTTTACTGACGACTGCAAGGTTAAATGAGCCATAAAGGGCATAGACATGAGTTGCAATTAATATTTTCCAAAAAGTACTGACTTCTTTCTGTTTCGGAACTTGTGGATATACATCTGGAGGGCCAAGCCTTGGTTTTTTCAAAGGCCGGTGCTCCTCACTTGGATGAGAAGCCGCCATTTTGGCCGCTACAACAGGAAATTACTAAAATTAGGAATGGTTTTCAAATACGAAATTGTGTTGACAACCCGTAATTTTAAGTAAAAAGAACGGGAGATGCCCATCGGATGCTATTATTTGAAAATATCCCTGATGATTACAGTCTGATTTTCAAATAATGTATCCAAGCAGTGCCAGCATTTTCAGACTTACAATTTGGAATTATTTGAGACCATGAACCAAACTATATTTGTAATTGCTTAGATATATTCAAATCATTTAGGCAAATGTCTGTTTACAATTATATACATTTATTCTTTAGAATGCGTGTAATTATTATTTTTACAATGAAGTTCCGTTCATATTATCAAAACAGCAACGACCCTTCAGTTTTTCGGGCAACTAAACTGTATACACTTCAACGAATACTATCATAATACTTGTCCTCCATGTTTGGTTGTATATACGTACACCTATTTGATGCTCAGTAAATGAATTTATAACATTGGTTGGTTGACTTGTTGTTTAACGCCGCACTCAGCAATATTCCTGCTACAAGGCAGCAGTCTGTAAATAATCGAGTCGTGACAGATAATCCAGTGATCAACATCATGAGCATCGTTCTGCGCAAATGGGAAACGATGACATGCATCAACCAAATCAACGAGCCTGATCACCCGATCCCGTTAGTCGCCTCTTACGACAAGCATGGGGCGTTAAACAACAAAGAAAAACCTGAAACGATCACGAGTTATAATATCCCGAAGCAGTGTACAAATTTCACAATGCCAGATTGTTGAAAGACACGAGATACCGTGCACGTTTCTTTGTCAGCTGTGGATGCATGGAATACTGTCCCTTTATGTGGATACTCATACGTTTCTCGAAAAAAGTAACAGCCTGGTATTAGAGCTTTTGTCGGTTGCAATTTATGATATCTGCATTTTGTTTCCTTTCATTAAATTTGTTGGAGCATGGAGCAGAATCATTCCACTTCATGTGCTATACTTAAGAAGTTCTTGGATGCGAGACAAACAACACTTTACCGTTGTTTCCACAAACCGTTTTGTTGTAGGTGTGGTATGTGTAAAGTATGATTCCCTTATACACAGGGGGTATTCGACTGTACATGAAAACCGGATGTTGTAGGTGTGGTATGTGTAAAGTATGATTCACTTATACACAGGGGGTATTCGACTGTACATGAAAACCGGATGTTGTAGGTGTGGTATGTGTAAAGTATGATTCCTTATACACAGGGGGTATTCGACTGTACATGAAAACCGGATGTTGTAGGTGTGGTATGTGTAAAGTATGACTTATACACAGGGGTATTCGATACATGAAAACCGGATGTTGTAGGTCTGGTATGTGTAAAGTATGATTCACTTATACACAGGGGTATTCGACTGTACATGAAAACCGGATGTTGTAGGTGTGGTATGTATGATTCACTTATACACAGTATGACTGTACATGAAAACCGGATGTTGTAGGTGTGGTATGTGTAAAGTATGATTCACTTATACACAGGGGGTATTCGACTGTACATGAAAACCGGATGTTGTAGGTGTGGTATGTGTAAAGTATGATTCACTTATACACAGGGGGTATTCGACTGTACATGAAAAAGTATGATTCACTTATACACAGGGGGTGATGTACATGAAAACCGGATGTTGTAGGTGTGGTATGTGTAAAGTAAATACCAGGGTATTCGATGTACATGAAAACCGGATGTTGTAGGTGTGGTATGTGTAAAGTATGATTCACTTATACACAGGGGGTATTCGACTGTACATGAAAACCGGATGTTGTAGGTGTGGTATGTGTAAAGTATGATTCACTTATACACAGGGGGTATTCGACTGTACATGAAAACCGGATGGATGTTGTAAGGTGTGGTATGTGAAAAGTATGATTCCCTTATACACAGGGGGTATTCGACTGTACATGAAAACCGGATGTTGTAGGTCTGGTATGTGTAAAGTATGATTCCCTTATACACAGGGGGTATTCGACTGTACATGAAAACCGGATGTTGTAGGTCTGGTATGTGTAAAGTATGATTCCCTTATACACAGGGGGTATTCGACTGTACATGAAAACCGGATGTTGTAGGTCTGGTATGTGTAAAGTATGATTCCCTTATACACAGGGGGTATTCGACTGTACATGAAAACCGGATGTTGCACCATTGCAACAACCCATTTTCCACTGTACAGTTTTTAAGGGACAACCCAGGCTTCACGTTCACGGTTAGTTTAAGGTATTCCCCATCTTTAACAAATGCGACATTTTAAATATGAGAACATAAAGTCTTTCTTCACATATTTGGAATCAGATAATGATGATAAAGTTTCTATATTTGTCATAAATGTCTATTTCAAGCGGCTCCCTAACTGAAACTGATGTTGCGATCGCGAAAAAGCTTGTTTTAGTCCAAATATTGCGCAAGTGATGACCACACAGTGCTTTTGTTCACTTTTACAACAAACTATGTCTTATTCAAAGTCCTGTGTGAAGTTTTAATGCTTATTTCTTTACATTTAGCGAGAAACATGGCAAAATATCGACTGTACGCTCTGATGGTTGTTGTACCTGTACTGTACGGGGAGTTGCAGGAAATACATACGGCACTGTACGGGGAGTTGGTATGATAATGATACATGTATTTTAACAAATACCCTGTTAGAAATGGGTTTACTACACTTCTATTACTGATGGCGACTTTCCATTGCTACTATTGTGCTCTTGTTTCCGACTTTGAGACTATTATTTGCCATTCTGTTGACGCTCATCCAAAAAATGGTTTAAAGGCCCGACAACGAATTGTGGATTGTAGCATTGTCATAATCAGTTATTATTTTTTAATTCGAAAGTTCTATCGAAATTTATATTTCATTTTTATTTAGATTGAGGGGCAGATACATTTAGCTGAGAAATAACCAAAGATTGTTCCATCACTGGGGTGAATGAAAACCAGCATTAACGTAAAAACCAGTTACACAACTAAAGTGATGTACGTCACTTCACTATCGCAAATTTTGTGAACATCGATATTATAAAGCCATTATTTGATACACATGATTCGTTAGCACTGGCTAGTTAAACATGACAATCAAGTACATGATACACCTTGGGCGAACTTCCTTAAGTCTTGGCACCTCCGACGTAATAATAATTTCAAATACATTGAAAGTTTAGTTTTGATATCTTTCTTTTCGTAAGTTTTATTCATAATATATTAAAACTTTTTACGATTCTTGTTCAATAACCATAATTTATTCACGAGCGATTACCACGAAACGTATATTTGATGCAAAGTAACGTTTTGCCCAAAGTTCTAAAATACAAGTGTCGAACGTTTTACAGCTCTGCGCAAACTAAAGATAAAGTAAACCTATGATATCATAATCAACCAAGTGAGTGAGTATTAAAATTGGACTTCGACGTACATGTCAATTACATGCCATAACGACCTTTGTTTCAGACAACTGACAAATTCAAATGCAAAAATCCAACAGTCTAGTGCATGTGGAAGACAGATGTTTGAATTAAACATGGTGCTGTTGTGTTTCAGCACCCTTGTTTTTCGTTGTTTTGGACAATGTTTCATTTAACTCAAACGAATATTGAATCAGTTGCTTCATTGCATGTTGTAACATGTCGTTTAAAGTCCCCATTAAGTACACAAAAGTTGCATTTACCTTAGAGTATAAATGCCCTCACCACATATAAGTTTATATATGACTATCACATTTTAGAGTGTCCCCATACTTTTTGTTTGTAGTATAGTATGTACATGCACAAGTGTTCATTGTTCATTGTGTATGATTTCTCATGATAATGTAGCGAGGGATCGCCATTTAAACCTTCTATTACTTGTATGACACCTATACATTCTACCATCGTCATAACATCTCTTGTGTTCATACATGTAATCCTTTGCCACGACACTTTGACAGACATCACATTCCTTGGTGTCATCCTTACCCGAACAGGTCTTGCGATGATGCGCAAGATCTTTCTTTGACAAGTACGATTTCTTACAACTTGGACACTTCTCTGGTGTTAAACAATGATGTTGATGTACATGCGATTTGTAACTTCACATTTGGTTGAATTTCTTATTACATATAACACGTTCGAATCTCCATATGTTCTGGTGGATGCTGTTGGAGTGAAGTTCCAAGCCATACTTACTATGCTTCGCCCGCATCCATCGTTTAGGAGGGTCGTAGTTTTAGCTTTAATATAGGGGTACGTATGACAATTTGTGACGAATTTAAGGAAAGGCAAGACTCGTCTTGGGCCTCAACATTCATTTCTGAAAGAAGTTTATCCGTGCAGTACACGTCGAACTGCATGTTCACTTTAGTATAACACGATATATTTTCCTAAATGAGTGTTCAAAACATTGCATATGGCGTAACTGTGATGTAGTAAGTAAAAAACTTGTAGGATGATTGAATCTTAACTAAGTGCATAGCTATGACTTCAAATTTACCTGCAAAAGTTCATGATTTATTAATGATACACCAAAAAAACCTGCAAGTCTTTGAGAAACGACCTTTTCCGAATACCTATCACAGGACTCAGTCACTCTGTAAAGGCGCAACTACCCGTACAGTCACAGTGACAGTAGCAACAGTATGTACAGACAGTATGTGACAGTAGCAACTACCTGTACAGTCACAGTATGTGACAGTAGCAACTACCTGTACAGTCACAGTATGTGACAGTAGCAACTACCCGTACAGTCACAGTATGTGACAGTAGCAACTACCCGTACAGTCACAGTATGTGACAGTAGCAACTACCCAGTAGTACGTACAGTCACAGTATGTGACAGTAGCAACTACCGTACAGTCACAGTATGTGACAGTAGCAGTCACCTGTACAGTCACAGTATGTGACAGTAGCAACTACCTGTACAGTCACAGTATGTGACAGTAGCAACTACCCGTACAGTCACGGTATGTAGCAACAGTACAGTCACAGTATGTGACAGTAGCAACTACC